GACATATCTATAGCTTCTTGACAAGTTCGCGCATTATGACCAGCTTTTCCACAGATCCCACAGCATCGCCTAGACGGTTGCCCCTCCTTGCGACTACCCCCAACCGCACGTACGTCGCGTCGTACCTGCTCATCCACATCCTTCTGTGCGATAATAGCCTGTGCATCCTCTACTATAAGTGCACCTCCTTCACGGACACGAGCCTTTTTAGCCCTGCGGCGTTTGCTAAGGGCTTCGTTGGCTGCTCGAAGGGTACGTACCTCAGCAGACAGAAGGGTGTTCTCATGTGCTAGTCGCTCCGTACCCTTTGCCAATGCAATAACTGTCCCGAAGAGTGGAGTTGGCGAGCTTCCTTGGTGACGGGCAATTCGATTTCGAACGAGGGTTGTTTGTGAAAGAGCTTCAGTTGGGTTGGAAGGGGTCTGGGAGACCCAAGGGTTGGTGTTGGCAGTAGAGGGTCTAGAGGGAGTTGGAGTCCGTAACCTCACGTCAAGCTTTGAAAGCACTGCTTGCGGGTCGAAAGGCACTAAGCCAGCTCCGCGGAACCCGGACTGGGCGTTTTGGGCTGTCATGGATTCCAGATATGCTGCTCTAAAGGCGAGAAAGAACTCAACCTTGGTAATGTGGTTGATATGAGCCTTAATGAAGGTCTCAATCTGCTGACCATATGCCCGCTTCAACACACTAAAGCACCCGACATCAAGTGGCTGAGTTAAATGAGACGAGTGGGGAGGTAGTCCAAGAGTTATAATGTTGTGTGCCTTGCAGTACTCTTGGAACTCAGCCGATTCATGACTCTCGTGCCCGTCTAACACCAGCATTCGATATGGACCCCTTGCACGAACAGCAGTATGTTTGTCGAAGTGTTTCAACCATTCTAGACCCGTCTCATTGTTTGTCCATCCATTGCTTGTCGGTTTAACAACCCAGTTGTGTGGAAGGCCGCCGTCTGTATACCAATTTGCAAGATGATTCTTGCCTTTAACTACCAAAAATGGAGGAATACTCCAGCCGTCACTGTTGATAGAAGCAATCGCTGTAGCCCATTCCCGATTCCCTGGCTGAACTGCCTTACCTCTGCCAAGTCGATCTGCACGGGTAACAACCATTGCAGGGCAAATCACACCCATCATAAACCCAGTTTCGTCAAAGTTATAGAAGTCGCAGTCCAAAACACCATATTTTGCCCTCATATTTTCCACTAGTCGAAACCACGCGCCAATTAGTTCAGGATCTTCGCACAAGGCCCTTTGGAAGTCGTAAACGCGATTAAAACGCGTCTTTAATTCTGGACGTCGTTGTACAAATCGGTGGGCCCAGAGCTTCCCGACGCGCCTCCCTCCACGCGATTCGAGTATAAAATTTGCCATATCTTCTACACCAGCAAGCCGGGGTGCAAATCCTCTTGAATCCATATCAAGTATATTCCGAATAACCACCTCCTTTTCTAGTATAGTTAATTTCATCATTGCAGGCCGGCGTTCGTAGACAGTAGTTCGGCCGTTCATTCTGTCGCAGAGTGTAGAATGAGGTACTTCATAGAGCTTAGCAGCCTTCCGACGACTTAGATTTTTTGATGTTCGGATAGCCTCGATAGCTAGAATGATTTTTGCTTCTTGGGTAATCACTGACATAATAAAAGGTGGAAAAAACGCGTTGTGAAGTTAGAGGGTAGGAAATTCGGGAAAAGTGTCCGAGGTACTGATATGTCCGACGTACTGATAAACCACGTTAGTTCTATTGTCGTACTTACTGATCTTGCATATAGTAACGATGTAGAAGAAAGAAGAAAGAAGAAAGGAAGGGCAAAATAGTGAGGTTATAGCTTAACATCATAACAGGCGTTGATAGTACTACAATAAGTAGTACTATAATAAGTAGTACTATCAAAGCAATAGGGGTAACTTAAACACGTGATATTCTACACTATTGTTGTCACGTGATGTCCATATTGTTTATATTGTTTATATTGTTTAACGTGCATGTATAACGAAAGTGCCAAAAAAGCGAAAGTGCCAAAATCATGCGGTGACCAACCCCCCCAACTAAATGTTAAATTCCTCCACAACAAAACATGCGCCATAAAAATGATGAAAGCAAATTAGTGCTAGCTATCCAAGCTATGCAAAGCGACCCAAATTTGCGCCTTCGAGTTGCAGCTAGGATCTATTCTGTAGACCACCGCAAGCTACGTCACCGTTTACAAGGCGTACCTTCACGATGCGATATCCAAGCCAACTTACGGAAATTAAGTAACCTAGAGGAATCAGTTCTTGTTCAGTATATACTTGACTTAGCTGCTAAAGGGTTCCCTCCTCAGTTGTCTATTGTTGAAGATATGGCAAATCGACTACTCGCAACATGCGACGCGCCACACGTCGGGTCACGTTGGGCTTCAAACTTTGTTAAGCGCCATGTAGAGCTCCGGACACGCTTCCAGCGAAAATACGACTACCAGAGGGCTAAGTGCGAAGATCCAGAAGTCATTCGTGGCTGGTTTGAGCTTGTATGGAACACAATTCTAAAGTATGGCATCAACAATGCAGATATCTACAACTTTGATGAGACTGGGTTTATGATGGGCGTCATCTCAAGCGCAACGGTAGTAACGAGCTCAGATGGGCGGGCAAAGGCAAAAAAGGTGCAGCCTGGCAATCGGGAATGGGTTACAGTAATCCAAGGCGTTAGTTCTCAAGGTTGGGCAGTGCCGCCATTTGTCATTGTGGCAGGTAAAAACCACCTTGCATCTTGGTATGAGAATAGCGGATTTCCAGCAGATTGGGTAATCGCTGTTACTGCAAATGGCTGGACTACAAACGAGAGAGGTATGGATTGGATTCAGCATTTTGAGAAGCACACAAAGCCCCGGAGTGTTGGTGGTTATCGCTTGTTAGTCCTTGATGGTCATGAGAGCCACCACTCAGACAAGTTTGAGGAGTACTGCAAAGAACACAACATTATTACGCTTTGTATGCCTGCTCACTCTTCCCATATACTCCAACCACTTGATGTTGGCTGTTTTGGCCCATTAAAGAGAGCTTACGGTCGGCAAATTGAAGATATGATGCGGGCTCATATTATTCACATTACTAAGGATGACTTTCCTGCCTTCCATGCTGCATTTAACATTGCAATGACAGAAAGCAATATTCAGGGAGGGTTCCGAGGTGCTGGGCTTCTTTCATTTAGCCCTGAGAGTGTAATATCTACACTTGACCTTAGGTTTAAGACGCCAACACCTCCAACCTCTCGCCCAAACACCGCTCAACCATGGGTTTCTCAGACACCAAATAACCCAACTGAAGCTGTATCACAGTCTACTTTCATTAAAAACCGAATTGCGCATCATCAAAATAGCTCTCCAACCTCAATCTATGCAGCTGTTGACCAGTTTACAAAGGGTGCATCGCAAATAATGCATCAATTAGCATTGTTAAAAGCAGAGAACCAAAACCTGCGACAGGCAAATGAAGTGCTAAGCAAGCGCCGGAGAGCTAAAAAAACACGACTACAGCAAGGAGGATCACTTAGTCAACAGGTAGCACAGGAGCTACAGGACGAGAGGGACGTTGTGCAGCAAGTAGAGCAAGAAATAAGGGCAAGTAGTGGTCGGAAGCCAAGGGAAGAAACCCATGCACGTCGCTGTGGCAAGTGTGGTGAGACTGGACACAATGCGCGCACTTGTCAGATTATAATAGACAGGTCTGAGGAAGAGGACTCCGAGTAGTTTTAATTAATTTATATTGTTGTGGTGGATTTATCGCAATTCTTATGGGGTAGTCGCGATATTTTGGCACTTTCGCTTGTTTGGCACTTTCGTTATACATGCACATTAGATCACGAAGATGCAGAGTTTTCACTATATGGTACTCATATATTAGGCTAATAAAATTTCCACATTAGGCAATTTAAACTGCAGTTCAAACTGCAGTTTGAACTGCCAAGAACCAACTACGGACTGTACGGCATAATGTTACGACGGAACAAGAAGGCTGGCCAACTACAGGACAGGAAGGAGGGAGGTCGCATGAGACCGGCCCTGGTACCTGGAGGGGCAGCGGGGAATAGTAGTTCCGAAAGTATCACGTGACGGACTCGCAGGATGATGAGAAGAGTCCTAAGAGTCCAGGACTCCGAGGACTCGAGTGAGTTCCCAGGAGTCCACTAGGCACGTGATGGACTCGCAGGATGATGAGAAGAGTCCTAAGAGTCCAGGACTCTGAGGACTCGAGTGAGTTCCCAAGAGTCCACTAGGCACGACGCCACTATATAAGTAGATAGTATTTCCTTAGATAGGAGCTTCGTGCTCAACTCAATACAGTATTTGTTATATACTAGTAACGTGTTACTTGAAGCCTTTGTGTCTGATCCCCTGCCTCCTCTGATAAGTAAACCTTTACGCAAGAGAACCTCTGTGTCTTCTATCGTTTAGAAGTCAGCGTTACACATAATCTTTAAACCAACTGCCAAGAACTGCGTAATGCGAAAATCAACTGTTTAACTGCATAACAAACCGACTAACTGACTAACTACTGGACACATTGAACTAATGGTGGAATCTCCCATACAGTGTGTACAGTATGTTCCAATGTGTCGGCAGTATTTCTCAGGGTTACAAGCGACGACGTTACTTTCTGATATTTACGAAGAACCAAGGAATTCATGGGAGATGAAAGCCAGTACAACTAACAAATAATCCTATTCGTCATCAGATGTAGAGCTCCTGAGCTCCTGTCCTTCAACTTCGTACAATAGTGCACTTGAAGTGATTCAATGCTCCTCTCTGGGAATGCAAGGTTAAAAGAGCGATGTATCCTCTTCCACGGTAAGCCCTTCTCCTCCTTCAGCTGCATTAGCACGTATATTTGATGCGCCTGCTCTTTCTATGCTTCTCCGGTGCCAGTCACGTCCGGCACCGGGCCGAACATGGATATGGCCCGTATGAGCATGTGCTCCACATTACGTCGCCGGAGTACAAAAAGCTGTGCCACATTCTCGCACTACTGATCTGGCTGGTAAAAAAAGCCTAGGGAGGAGTCTAGTTTGTGCTTTTTCTCTGCCAACTCCAGAGTGGCTCTCTTCTCCATCTTTGATTTATCTTGGGCCAACTCGTCTCTTGATTTCTTTACCTCCGCCATTATTTGCTCAATGTTAACCTCCATATTGGTCAAAGTCGTGATGGTAATCTCCTGCATCTTTGTCAGCTCGTCTTTTTTACTGCACTCTTCGTCCAGCTGGCTAAGCCTATTCTTAGTTTCATCCAGCATCCTCAGGTTATCCATAAACTGGACATGTAGATCATTAATTGCGCGGTGGGTGGACGATGGGGTTTCCATACTCTGAACAGTCTCCCTTACAGCCTGCGTCCACGGGTCAAGACCAGACTGATTATTGGAGACGTTAGCGCTGGGCGATGGTTTCACAACAGCGTAAAAGGCTATGGATTTCCGGTTGTGCCTAACCGTGGGGGGAAGTGAGTGCGTCCACTCGTTTATGAGAGAAAGCAAGTGCGTCCTCTCAAATTGCGACCGTAAATACCCAACCATAGTAATTTATATGTAAAAGTACTTAAAATTTCAATTCTACGAAATTATCACTTCTTCATTCTCACGCTCACTCTCACTCCCACGACCCTCAGTTGCGCTCTCATACTGGCTCCCAGATTCGGCTTCTGGGTCAGTAATAGGGTCTTCCAACTCTGGAGGAATTGGGAGGCCCAATTTAGTGAGCTGAGCTATGCTCTTCTTCCGGAGGCGCTCCCGTTTCCGGGCTTCGATTCCTGCCCAGCGGAGCTGCTTCTGGGCTCGGGTTTGGGCCTGGCTCAGTTTCCGAGCTTCTGTGGCAGCGAGCTTCTGGGTCTGAAGCTCAGCTTTCTGGGCCTGAAGCTCGTGGGCTTCAGAAGCCCGGAGCTCACCTCCACACTGGAGTCGGTCCCGGCCCCCCCGCTTCTTCTTCGAGTCCTTGACCTGCTGCCGAACAGCCCATAGGTCGAGTTCCTGGAGCTGGCCGGCAGCCAGAACCCGGGCTGCCCCAGTAAGCCAGTTGCTGTAGCTCTGCCTTGAGGGGCTACTAAAGGCCTCCGGAACCCGCTCCTTCCACTGCTGTAGGCCCTGTTCTACGCCCTGGAAAGTGGAGGGAATAGGGGTAATAGGCTGTGGTAGGGTAGGTGTTGTAGGCTCTGTAGGCTGAGTAGGCTGCGAGTACGTACGCAGCTTCTCAAGGGCTGTATTACAGCTTATAGGCCAGATTCCAGCTTTCCGGAACGCTGATTGTATGGTAGATTCCTTAAAAGTCTGCTCCCGCATTTGTGGGAGATCTCTCATAAATCGGGGTAGGTTATAGGTGATGTCCACTTCCCGTATAGCACGGAGCACAGCCTGCCTATGCCAGTGCTTATAAGGCTGGAATATTCCCACGTCTAATGGCTGTAAAACGTGTGTAAGGTGGCTGGGAAACGCCCATAAGATGATGTGATATTCGGCTGCCATAATGACGAACTCAGGGCTTGTGTGGCTCACATGAGAATCGAGTAGTAGAACCTTGGGATTTCCTGCGTTGTGTGGAGCAGTAAGCTCTATGAAGTGCTGTAACCACCATAGAGCAAGCTGGCTATTAGAATAGCCAGTCTCCGAGAGCAATATCAGCTCATTTCCACTGAGGTTTTCAGGGTACCATGCTGCCATATGGATTTTACCCGGTACAACAAGTACAGGTGCAATCTTCTGTCCAGCTGCAGATACTGCCTCTATGATCGTAATAGATATACGATTCTCAGGGCTCGGAGTATAGAGCTGCTTTACAGCTCGGGGGACCATAACTCTCTCACCCCCTGGAATTCCAACCCTAAATCCAGTTTCATCCATATTCCAGATTGACTCTGGATTTATACCATGCTGTAGTACAAATTCCGTGTACTTTTCAAACCACTTAACAATAGCAGGTTCCTCTTGAGCTTGTGTACGCTGTTGCGCAATAGGCTTTGTAGTGATAAAGTGGAAATCCATAAGCTCATTCCGTATATATTTAGTGAGCCAGCTCTGTGACGGTGGAGGCAGTGGGCTCCGTAGGTGGCATACTGCCCCATAAACCATATGCCTATTAGCCCCTAATCCTAGGTAATACTGCTCTAGAATCCAGGTCTTTAGGGCCTCCGTTTGGTCTATAGAAAGCACCCTATTGTGACCTCCATGGGGCAGCTTCCGTGGGACTGCTCGGGTGATTCTTGACTGTATAGTCGACTTTGGGACCTTAAAAATCCGACTGGCAGCACCTATAGATTCAGAGGGGTTTGCTGCCAGCCATTCACAGGCATTTGATAGAGGTGTCCCTTCCATTATATGAATTACATTTGATTACTATATAAATTACTATGTGTAGGAATGTTCGAGGTTTTGGTAAAGAGTAGCGGTGAACATATGCAAGTTGAGAGGACGCACTTGCTTCCTCTCGTAAGCGAGTGGACGCACTCGCTTCCCCCCACGATTACTCGGTGTTCCACCCACTCGCTTCGCTCGTAGGTGGCGACAGCAAGTTGTGCGTGCGACAGCAAGATGTGCGACACATAAAACGAAGAAAAAGACGCCTTATATATCAACTATATAACTATATAATTAAAACATAAAATCAATAGAACTACTATCACTATCGCTACTGCCACTATTGCTACTATCACTTTGATCCTTACTATACCGTAAAATGATCACTTTTGATTTCAACCCTTCCTTCTTCCGCTCTGCTACCCGCTTCCTCTCAACCTTACGCTCTTCAATTTCGATTTTACGTGCTTGCGCTTGTAGCTGCTTTACTACTTGGTCCGATTCCCTTGCTGCTCTTGCGTCTGCTTTTGCTTGCAACTTTGCTTTCTTCTCTTCCCGCATTTTCCGTGCATCTGATGCATATAACTGCCCTCCTTTCTGTAGTGATTTCCGTGCCCTTGCCTTTGCTGCCTTCTGCTCTACTGCACGTAGAGTCATAATATCTAGCTCGGTCTTATAGAGCTCTGCCCGGTGTAGAACAACTGTAGTTCCACGTGCAAATGATTGAAACCCTTCTCTTGAAGGCGATGAGAAAGCTTCCTCTGCTCTCTTCTGCCAATGTTCAACCGCTTGCACACTTTGCATAGTTGTTTTCGGTGTTGAGATAATATTATATGAAGCAAATGGCTCATAATCAGGTGTTTGATTCCGAGTCTCTTGTATCTTGTCAATTACAAGTGGAGGATTATATGGATATAGTCCTGTATTTCTCCAACCAGATTGAATTGTACGGACAGTTAGAGATTGCCGTCGGATTTGCGGGAGGTCTGAAAGGAACGTACGTAGCTTATACTCATAGTCGTAGCTACGTACTGCTTGATCAAGTGCCTTTTGATGAAAGTGTTTGCACTGCTTAAAAACCGCTACATCAAGAGGTTGTAATAGATGTGTTGTATGAGCAGGAAGGCAGCAAATAACAATGTTATGCTCTTCTGCTAATGTAAGAAAGCGCTCTGTTTTATGAGAGTCATGGCCGTCAAGTAATAAGAGGCGAGTATCATCTGGTGCCATATGCTCTGCAGATAGTTGGATAAAATGCATAAGGTATTGGATTGCAATGTCGTCGTTTGAATACCCGCTCTCATTTACAATAATGAGAGCATTTGGCTCAAGGTCATCATTGTACCATGAATCCATATGAAGTTTGCCAGGGATAATGATAGCTTCTGCAAGTGCAGCACCACTTGCATTTACTGCCTCAATTACAGTAACAGAGAGCCGATTCTCAGGATTATCAACAGTCCACTGCTTTACACCGATTGGTACAATAACAGCCGTAGACTTATAACACCCAATCATATAGCCTGTCTCATCAACATTCCATAAATTATATGGCTTAATGTTATGTTTTGTAATAAGGGCGTTATATGTGAGAAAGAATTCCTCAAACACCTCTTTCTTTTGTGCTTGCTTCCGATGTGTATTTAACGTCTTCGTGTGAATTGTATGAAATTCGGGGTGTGCTTTTAGAAAGCGTTGTAGCCACCGTTGTGATGGTATCGTACGATTAGGTCGTAAGTCTGCAACTGCCCGTAGTATCATAGATCGGTTGGCAGGGACCCCGCGCTCAAGTTGGTCGTATATGAATTGACAGACCGCGGTCTCTTGCGATTGAGATAAGACTCGATTGCTACCTCCGTGGGGTAATTGAGGAGACGTAGTACTCGTAATACGACGTCGGAGTGTCTCACGGTTGACATTGAATTTATTTGCAACCCAAGCAATTGTATATGTACTTGGTTGTTTTAAGAAGAACTGTTGGGCCTCATTAAGGCGAGCAATCATAGTAGGATCGTTATTTTGAGGCATTGTAGATACTACGTTATGAAGAATACTATTATTTTTTCTATATATCAAAATAGCGGTGTACGCACATCTTGCTGTCGCACGCACAACTTGCTGTCGCCACCTACGAGCGAAGCGAGTGGGTGGAACACCGAGTAGTAGTTTTAGCCACTTTGTTCCTCCATGGCCGTGGTAGACCACAAAGGCCATCATATCCCAGGCCTCGACACAAACTGTGCAAGCTCCTACCGCTCAGCTACCATTGAGCTAGGCGGAAAAGCAGTCATCAAAGTCAGTCGTCACTTTACATGTCGGTGCTACTAAATCCGAGGATGAGGGTTGCAAACTTCTGCCTAATGGAGGCAGCCTCGAAGCATACGACAGTTATTAATCTCGATCTGACAATGAGGATGTCAAGATGAGGTCCGAACGAAGACGAAGAACACCGCAGGAGGTCGACAATCATCGCTTGCCAAGTGTTACCCCTGGACTGCAACTCGACGCATCCTCTTGCCACTATCTTGGGCTCTATAAACGAAGGCCCAACCTTATTCGCTTTCAGCAAACGGGTGGTGCAGTAGTTGCAGGATGGGACTCGTCTTTCATCTATGGTGGCGCACTACAGAATTGACTTCGCGTTAGAATTCGCCCTTCAGCCTTCCGCACGTGTAGACATGTAAATCGCCAGAACATGACTTCTGGGTCTTGAATTAGATAGAGGCTATATGCTGCAGGACTTAAGATTTGAAGTCAGTTGGAGCATTATGGTAGAACTGCAAATAGCTCGAGCTTGCAAACTACCCACATGTAGAGTTCGAGTCGCTCGGCTATTCTGGGATTAGCGCCCATCGCTGACGACGCTCAACGACATACAAAAAAAAACACAAAACATCGCATTGTACTCGAGGAATAGTATTTCATCGTCTGCGAAAGTATGAATTTAGATGGCATCTTGTTTAATGCGAGCGCATTTATAGCTGGCCTGTTTCTCTTAGAATTCGGTGCTGATCGTTTTATTGACCACACGGCAATTGTCGCCAGCCGTCTCGGCGTCTCTCAGACACTGATAGCTTTGCTCACTGCAGGTGCAGAATGGGAAGAGGTGCGCTTAATTCAACATCTTCTGGGCTAACTTAGTTAACTGGTATAGCTCGCTGTCGTTGTAGCGTGTATCCTCCAAAATCGCTCGTCGCTCGCACTTGGCAATGTCGTCGGCTCCTCAATCTCAAATATTCTGGGAGCATTCTCCTTAGGTCTCCTCTTTCACCCGGGCCGAATGGTATTTGATCGAAGCGCAAAGTTGTACGCTGGCATACTGTTTCTGGTGACCACGATCTTTACGTTAGTCGCTCTGACGACAGGCCTTGGCAGGGTCGCGGGAGGCCTTTTCATCGCAGCGTTTGCTGTGTATCTGGTGTCGATTGGCTACGGGATTTACAGGGGTGCGTTAGATGCCCCAGAGCGCTTGGATAGCGACAGCGACAGTGATAGCGATGACGATGGAAGCACCCATGGTGGCGACTCAGAGGCACAGCATCTGCCAACTGAAACATCTCCTTTTCTCCCCAATGGAGCTAGTGGAGGCCGTTCGGCACACAAACATAGTCTTATCTATCATACTGTCCAGCTCATCCTCGGCTTTATAGCACTGTCGATATCGGGATACGTTCTCTCCCACAGCGCCGCCTCGATCGCCGACGAGTTCGGATTATCCAACACAGTCCTCGGCGTCACAGTCTTGTCATTCGCCACCACATTGCCCGAGAAGTTCGTGGCCGTTATCGGTGGCGCGCGCGGGCATGGCGGCATCGTTGCCGCAAGTACGGCGGGAAGCAATATCTTCCTCCTCACTCTGTGTCTTGGAATAACGTTCGTGGCGGGGGATCAGGTGGAGCTCGCGGACTCGGTGGTGCCGTTCGAGTTGCTTGTTACTTGGGCATCGTCGGCGCTGTTTTGCTTGCTTGTGTTTTTAGGATCAGAGCGTTGGGTTGGTGGTTTGCTACTGGTGTTGTATGTTGCGTTTATCGTGTTGGAGTTCACGGTGTATAGGAGATGAACTACAGAGAATTGAGTGATACTCGCCCGATTGCGCTCATATGGCCATGCACCTTTTTACTCTAGGATACGTTGACGATTACAAGGACAAGTCCCCAACCACCAGCTCTGTGAGTATGTAATGATATGGATATTGCCTCGTGTGACAACAGCTGATAATAGCTTGTCCTTCAATGAAGTGAACGACTCCCTCTGACTTTCGAAGCTTTGAAGGTGACCAAAGTACCGTATGTAAGGACCGTCGGGCTTGATCTCAGAAACATAGACCACCAAGTTGCAAGACAATACTTCCCAGAACAGACAAAGCATGTCAGCCGACGACGCAACCCAGCAGCAGCGAACGGAGAGACGATGCTCTTGAAGCAGCCGTATCTAGAAAAATAGCCCAAGCGCAGCGCGTTGTCTTTGGAGAACTAGCACGGTTGAAGACGCTCACCTTGTCATTGTCTCGACGCGCGGAGATCCGATCTCAGCCAAGAGAATCAGCGTTGGGGCTCGAACTTCAGAGTGGCTTGGTCATATATCTCACCAATCCTTACAGACGCTCTCGCAGAATCGTAATTGTTGGCCTCGACTTTAGGCTACTCTCATCATCAGGAAAGACATCCTGGTGCGTCCTACCATCTAAAACCCCTCAAAAATAATAAAAGCACCACCTCCTGGCAGCTCATCCTTGTGACCTAGTCAGCCAGGGATCGTTCAACAATTCCCTTGCCGTCTTTCGCTTCTCCGGTTCCCACTGCAACATCGACTTAATAAAGTTGAGAAATAGCTCTTTATCCTTCCCGTTGAGATTCTCCTCCGCAGCCTCGAGACTACTAGACGGCAAAAGCGGTAAGCGTTCTGGCTCATTCTCGTCTGGTTCAAGCCATTTGCCATTCCCATCGAACCATTCCGCAGATCTCTCGCCCCGCTTGATGAGCTTCAGTGGTGGCGGTCCGAGAACAGAAATCAGTTCTGTAAGATGAGCACGAGTTGTGTAGCGGCCTCGTTTCGGATCTTGCCCACTAAAGAGATGTTTACCCTCAAAGATATCCCAGATCTACTGCCAAGTGAGTAAAAGAGTCTCATGAACCTATTTTTGCGTGGAAAAGGGTCACTCACCATGGCGCCAACATTCCAGATATCAGCGCTATAACTCCATGGGAGATGAAGCATCACTTCTGGACACCTGTAAACATCGGGGTAGGCATCATCGTCGTTGATTTTTGTGCCATATACCGCATTTCCAAAGTCGCAAAGTACTGGCTCCCCAATAGACTCTGGCATATCTAGAGTCCGGGAAACATATATTTCTCGATCCACCGCTTTCTTGCGCGGTGAGGGTTGAGCAATCTCGGCCTCCTCAAAAGCAGCAAGAATAGAGGTATCTTCGATAAGATGAAGAATGTTATCGGATTTGATGTCTAAGTCAAATAAAATCAGCAGAGATTCTAGCATGAAAGCCAGGAGTAAATTAACCTGTGTGGATCAACTTCCGATCCGTGTGAATATAGTCTAGCGCTAGTAAAAGGCGTTGGAGGTTTACTCGAAGCAGGTCTTCCGTGAGCCTATCTCGACCACTCCGTTCGAGGAGTGTCCTTATACTGTCCCAGAGTGGTTCATGTACCAGGCATGGATGTTTACCACCACGATTCATCAACTCAAATGAATCCAGAGCAGTGCGCACGTAGCGGTAGCCAAGTCTTGATTTATTTCCTTGGCTGATGTGCTTATAAATGGCAATCTCATCGGTATCCTGGCCATCATTTGTAAATATTTTGACGGCAACGTGACGGTGGGCTCTGTTTTGAAATTAGCTTCGTCTTATGTTAGTGCAGCATCGCTGACTGTAAATCCTGTGCAAGCCACACCGTTGACGAATTTCCAAACCCTAGCTTTCCGACGATTTGATACCGCGCGGAAAGAACATCCCCAATCCGCGCTGGGTAATATCGCTCAATTCCAAAATTTTCTTCTTCAACCTTTTCTGATGGGTTGATAAGAGAGAATTTCACATTCGGGTACTGCCGTGGTGGTGAGGGTGCCCGTTTGACTGCACTTTTGGCCCACTTCAGGAGCCTAGCCATGAGTGAGCTGTGCTTGACGATCTGGCGGATATTTCGATGTAGATTGATGGTTTACAGGAAGTAGTCAAGGGGCTGGAGGTGGGAACGAGTCGATGGAGGAAGGAATTGAACGAGGTTGGGCAACGTAATCGTCGTATCCAACTTTTCGCTTCGCTCAAGGTTGGAGGAAGCGAGTCGGGTGATTGAGAAAGTTGGAGAAGCGAGATGCGCGATTTCGCAAATTGTATGTTATATGTACCATACCATAGTAATTTATATGTAAAGATACCTAAATGCGCCATTCTACAAAACTATCACTTCCTCACTCCCACGCTCGCTCCCACGCTCGCTCTCGCCCTCAAACTGGCCCTCGCTCTCACTTTGAGGGTGTTCTGGGTCAGGAATTGGAAGCTCGAGCTCCGGAGGAATTGGAAGACCCTCTTCGTATAATTGGGTCAACATATTCTTCCGGGCACGCTCTTCCTTCCGGGCCTCGATTCCAGCTCTCTTAAGCTGGTTCCGAGCCCGGTTTATAGCCTGGCGGGCTACTCGGGCTTCTGTAGCTGCGAGCTTCCGGGCTTTAAGCTCGGCTTTTTCAGCCCGGAGCTCGTGAGCTCGAGCAGCCCGAAGCTCACCTCCAAATTGAAGCCGGGCCTGTCTTCGGCTTGCCCGCTTCCTAGAATCCTCAACCTGCCATCGGGCAGTCCGTAAATCAAGCTCCGTAAGCTGGCCGAGGCCACGACCTCTTCAGTTCCAGTAAGCCAATTCCTGTAGCTCTCTTTTGAGGGGCTACTAAAGCCCTCCGGAACCCAGTTTTTCCAACGCTGTAGCCCCTCTTCTACCTCCCTAAAATTAGAGGGTTTTGGGGTAGAAACCCAGATTGGTAGGGGCGTAGGTGTAGGCGTAGGTGTAGGTTGTGAGTAGGTGCGTAGTTTTGTAAGGGCTGTATTACAGCTAACAGGCCAAATACCAGCTTTCCGGAAAGCTGATATTATAGGTAGACTCCTTAAAAGTCTGCTCCCAGATGTGTGTGAGATCTCTCATAAAGGACTGTAGGTCGTAGGTAATATCCATCTCTCGTATGGCTGCAAGCACAGCTACTCGGTGCCAGTGCTTATAAGGCTGGAAAATCCCTACGTCTAATGGCTGTAGAATGTGTGTAAGATGTGAGGGGAATGTCATACTGATATTCATTGCACTCAGTTTGCTATCAAACTCAAGAGCAAACTTAGAAATCTCCTCCTCAAACCTACAAGTCACCATACATATCTTGGCTTATCACACCAACAACAGAAGCAATACTATTCAACGATTGCTTAACACTCTTCTACTACATCTGTTTATGCTACATACATCACGGCATATCATTTGGACACTCATTGAACAAGTTATTAAGAAAATCTCCTCCTTAAGGGGGTGGGCCAATACTACCACATGGCATATCTCTATCAACTAGAGGCCTAGGAACATGAACGATAGCTCTAGAAGCTTCTACAACCCTCTATGATTCATTACACATCATCGCTCCTTAGTTACCCACAAGATTGGTTAAGTTATGACATAATTTGTCTATAGGTACTCTGACCTTGGACCTCCTTTCACTTCCTATTGGCTAGGAACCTAGGAGATTGTTCTATGGGATTCTCTTACGTCGACTACAGTTACCAAGCCTGGTTAGTCATGGAAAGTCTTGGAAAATGAGAGAACTACACTCCTTTAGCATAAATAGGATTGCCCTTTCCTTCAGAAAGGGCAAGCAGACAATACAGTAAATCGACTATCACATACTTCCACGTCTTTTCCAAGCTTCCAAGCATTGATCTTGTTACTCCTTGTTTCTGAAAAGTCAGTGAGGTGCTAACCTCTGACTTATCCCTGAGTTCTCAGGCTCAACATTTGTTACAACTTGTCTAAACCACTTCACTACATCATACACCTGATTGCTGCGTTGTGGAATAGTCTAAGCTACAACCCTTTGGCTCTGTTTCCTAAGACAGTGTGTTGTCTTAGTAAAATCATCCCTTCCTTGGGTGGCTAGATTCTCACATCTGGTGCACCCACCATTACAGGGAAGGTGTAGACAATGATGTCATGCTCTGCTGCAATGACGAAGTCATCGCTTGTATGACTTGCATGAGAGTTGAGTATTAGAACTTGGGGGCTCCCATTATGAGGGGTTGCTGTAATGGTGGGTGCACCAGATGTGAGAATCTAGCCACCCAAGGAAGGGATGATTTTACTAAGACAACACACTGTCTTAGAAAAAAAGCCAAAGGGTCGTAGCTTAGACTATTCCACAACGCAGCAATCAGGTGTATGATATAGTGGAGTGGTTTAGACAAGTTGTAACAAATGTTGAGTCTGAGAACTCAGGGATAAGTCAGAGGTTAGCACCTCACTGACTTTTCAGAAACAAGGAGTAACAAGATCAATGCTTGGAAGCTTGGAAAAGACGTGGAAGTATGTGATAGTCGATTTACTGTATTGTCTGCTTGCCCTTTCTTAAGGAAAGGGCAATCCTATTTATGCTAAAGGAGTGTAGTTCTCTCATTTTCCAAGACTTTCCATGACTAACCAGGCTTGGTAACTGTAGTCGACGTAAGAGAATCCCATAGAACAATCTCCTAGGTTCCTAGCCAATAGGAAGTGAAAGGAGGTCCAAGGTCAGAGTACCCCTATAGACAGATTATGTCATAACTTAACCAATCTTGTGGGTAACTAAGGAGTGATGACGTGTAATGAATCATAGATGGTTGTAGAAGCTTTTGGAGCTATCGTTCATGTTCCTAGGCCTCTAGTTGATAGAGATATGTCATGTGTAGTATTAGCCCAGTAACTAAGGAGTGATGTCATGTAATGAACCATAGAGGGTTGTAGAGATATGCTATGTGGTCATATCGGCCCAGTAACAGCTCATTCTAAAAGTGATTAATGAGTTTGGAATTGTAAGTAAAGTTGGGTAATTTATGATAGACCCCCTGGTTCTCATGTTGACGTTGCCTACACAATCTGAGCGCTGATATTCGACATAACGCGCCCTTGTTCATAGAAGTTGGGTCGAACCTTGGCAGAATATACTATCTATTTGAAGATCTTCAACTGTAAAATCCCTAGTATTACATAAAATTACTGTTTAAATACAGCTTCGAATATATGATGTATATTCACAATACTCACTTGTTCCACTCGCCCTCAATCTTATGTTCCACCTCCGCAAAATCGTCCGGGTCAAATCCCACCTCTCCACAAATTGCCTTGGTGTACTTTTGAAGCTGCTCAAGATGCTCCACACACTGTGTGAGGCCCTTACTGTAGGCAAACTGGTACACCTGTGCAAACCGCATACCACTCTCCTCAGCCTTCGGCCTTCCTTGACCCTGGTTATTCCTCTTTCCTGCCGTCTCATCGTGCTCATCGTTGCCATATTTATGACGCTCTTTCTCCTGCTGCTCCATTTCCAGCTCCTCCATCCGATCCAATAACCTCTTCCTCGTCACCATCGCACTGGGTAAATAGCGCGGAACTCTTCTCTTTCCCCGCAAGGCTCCGGCGAGGATATACAGAGTCATGAGGATGCTAGCCACGGCATCGCGTCGGTACGGAAGTAGCTCGTTCGAAACTGCCTCGTTCTGACTCATATAGTTTGGGTGGAAGTACAGACTAAACTGGCGCACTTCAACGAGGTTTTCAAAGAACGCCTCACAGCTCTCAATGAGCGCCGAATAAGGCAAAGGATTAAACGGCTCACGTAGTCGGATCTCGTGTCTGGTTAGGGCCAGGAGATGGCGCATGCGGACGAAAGCTTCGCGGAGGCGACCTTCCAGCATCTCGGAGCGGGTGATATCTTCTTGCGTTGGCTCGTCGCCTTCTTCGTAGTAAATGTACTGCGCGACAACACCGCGGTAGATGAGGGCGGAGTAGTATATCATCCCCGACAGAGATTTTCGCAGCTCGTGACGTGCAACAAAGGGCCATAGAAGCCAGCTGACTAGGATCGCAGATATGACGCCGACGACAAAAGCGACGCCCAAAGTCCACGCGATGTTGATGTTCGACAGGCGATTTCCTTGAGCTTGTAGGTCGAGAGATACAATGATGAAACTGAGACAGCCGACTAGCCCGGACCGAGTATGAGAACTCTGCGTATATCGGTATACCATTGGAATCATATAAATGGCTGCGAAAACTGCAACAACAACGGGATTTCCGTCGCGTGCTGCGTGTGCCACTCCGCCCCATATTGCACCGAGTATTGCGCAGAAGCTGCGGGTGAACAAATCCTGGATATTTCCTCCCGTTCGAGGATGAACCATTATCCAGACAACGATTACAGCCCACCAGCTTTGGTAGTCGTTGTACCACTTCCGACTCTGTTCCAGCCATGCCGGAACGGAGAGCATGGAGACGACAATTGCAACCTTTAGAGCATAGCGCATCTCGAACCCCTGTGCCCTGTGAAGCACTTTCCATAGCTTGTATCGGAAAGTTTTCTTCGGCGAGGACATTTCGTCATTGATAATAACATCCTCGTCACCATCGTCGGACTCCTGGATAGATGATACAGCGCTTTCTTCAGCCTTGTTACGAGGCAGAGGCTGGAACGTGCTTTTCTGAGCGCCGATCATCAGAGCATTAAGTTCCCTCTGGCTGCGAAAGAATAGACCGGTAGTCATACCTCCACGGTCATGACGTACCTGCGCATTAGTTCTCTGGAGACTCTTGTGAAAGGGATAATGAGGTAGATAAAACCGCCATTTCGTCTGACTCTGTTGCATTTTCATCACCAGGACCAACAGAGCCTCCAAGCTATCTGCTGTTTGCCTAACTGGGTTCACAAATATGAATAGCTCCACGACGTCGGGGTAATTTGAAAAGGTAGCTGGGAAGGCCTCATTGTTAATGAGCTCCTTATGGAGTTTGTCAAACTTGATTTTGGCCTTTCGGAGATTTACCAGACTCCCAAGGACATCTGATGAAACTTCAGGAGGAGGGCCGATATACTTCCTATACCCTGACATCCCCAAAAGAACTGCATTGCAACAGTCAATTCCATCCCTCATATCCGCAAGTAACTGCTCGGTAGGACCAGCAAGTGTCTTGGTTACGAGGTTCACCGCTTGCTCCTCAATGGTGCCTATACTCGCTTGGCGTGAGCGTGGCTCCTCAATATCTACAACCACGTCGCCGTCACTCGAGTCATTTCCTCGTTGGTTATCGTTTTCCGCACCATTGAAGAGTTCTGTCTCTGTCTTCAGCGACAACAATGATCGAACCACTGCCTGCATGGCATTTCTGACTTCCGCAATATCCGCAGGAGCAAATCTTGTATATGAGATATCGAGTGCGAGGTCTCGATAAGCTTGAGAAAGGTTGACAAAGGTCCACGACAGCTGGCGATGAATACTCTGGTTCTCCGTTCGTGGAAGATTCAGCCCTTCTTGCATGACTCGGAATGCGTCAAAGAGCGCCAGAGCAATCTGGCGAGAGCCGCCATCTGGAGCGATAGCGAAGCACACAATGAGACTGATAGCCTGCCCCAAGGCCCACGGTATCCCATATGCAAGAAGTTTCTTCCAGGTTATATTTCGCCCGGTCTCGGCCAAGCAACAGAACATAGCAGCAATTCCGGCGGGTACGACGAACTGATATATCCTTATAAAATAGGACCTTAGGGATGCCATGACGCCCATAAATATTATCAAGAAAGCGGCAAGTAGGCCTCCATATCCACTTTCTGCTACACTTGTAGAGTCAGAGACATACAGAGCCAAGGCTCCCCAGCCAAGGCCAGTACATGTTCCCATGGTAGTCAGAAATGTGCCATCAATCTGAGCCCCGATTGTCCTGCCCGGATGATTAAATAGAGCAGATAAAACCATGATATACCGGTATCTTCCTACCCAGTTACCAACAACCGGTATCAGGCACAGGATATATGGTATGAAAAATCCAAGAAATGATTTCGTAAGCTTAATGCCAGCTCGGGTGGTCATCAGTCGTCGCGCCACGCTCTTCAATTCGTGCCATTGCTTCGGCAAGAAGTGAGACACTGACAGCGGGTGCTTCTTTCTGAAAGACGCTGGGAGTGTATCCCTCGCCGACCGCATCAACTCCTCCTTATCCGTCTTCGGCGGCTTGAAGAAGGGAGCATCAAAAAAGCCATCACGCGTTTCCTGAATTCCATATGTTTCCAGATGCACATTGAGGTCTCGTAGCAGATGACCCAGCTCTTCCAAGTGCACTGTATTCGTTTCCACAGCACTCAAACTGTGCCTAGACGTCGCCATTGCGGAGTGTCTTGGTGTCCCCATCGCAGAGGGTCTTGGTGACCGTGGAGACCCCGGGGACCGCATCAATCGCATCGAAATAGGGCGGGAGGCGCTTGGACTCAGGCCATAGGAGCCCATGTATATGCTCGAGGCATTGACGAGAGCGTTTGGCCGTTGCGGGCCCTCCTCTATCTTGACATGTTTTTCTTTCTTTCGTGGCCCGAGGGTTGGTCTGCGATGTAATATACCTTTGGAGGTACCCCCAGCTCCGCTGCTCTGGCCTTCATCGTTAGCTTTGGGTTTACTGCTCTTGAGAACAGAGAGGGCCCTTGATCTTCGCTCAATTGTGGGTTTCGAGGTGGTCCGTTGGGATTGATATGAGCCTTCCGGCTGTTGAGATCCTTCCATTGAGCAATCGCACTTGACAGTGCATCTTGCTCAACAAAAATTAAAGCGCGCCAATTGGAATTGACCAGAGTCTCTCCAAGAATTCGAATCGTGACGTTTGCAATCCATAAACCCTGTCGCGGACGGAGCCTCACATCAAATTCGCCCTACCCCACACCAGCCGCCCTTGGCGGAAGCCCGATAAGCGATAAGCCGTTAATCTTAGCTTATATTTAAACTCCGAGACGGAGACGCCATCCACATGCGCCGCGAGGGACCGAGGTAGTCGACTACAAAGACAAGTCGCGATGGACCTAAGTCAGCTCGCCGCTGGCCAGACCATCATCGAGACCTCGTTCAAGGCCGTGGTCGACCTTGTCTCCGACGATGAAGCGGGGGGAGAGCCCGAACTGAGGCCCGAGTCCGAGACCGAGGCGCCTGAGGCGGATGAGGACGAGGACGAGGAGGATTATGAGAGTGGAAGTGACGCTTCGGGGGAGGTTTGGGAGACGGAGTCGCTCTTTGAGGATGCCTTGGAGGAGGTCGGTGACGGAGAGCTTCAGGGCGGTATGTTACGCAGGATCGATATTACAAGCAAAGCTAGGGGTTACTAATATCAGCCCATAGGAGACGATGTCTGTACGCTCGAGGAAGCGCGAGAGTACCGCCGTCTTCTGCGCGACAGCGGCCCGGCGGTCTTCTGTGAGACTACTGTTGAGGCGGGGAAAGTCACAGCAAAGAAACTCATAACGGCGTTTGGCATCAAGCCCCCCGCATTCCTCGAGGGCGCGCCCGACATAGCGTACTACAGCCTTCTTTCCATGGCCCTGAGCCGCGAACTGTCCAAACGATCAAAGCTATCGAGTTACAACACGATCGACGACGTCGTCAAGCTCCTCAACAAGTGCAAAAACATCATTGTTCTCACGGGAGCCGGCATAAGCACCTCCCTCGGGATCCCCGACTTCCGCTCCAAAGACGTCGGACTCTACGCCAAGCTAGAACACCTCGGCCTCTCCGACCCCCAAGAGGTCTTCGACATCGCCCTCTTCAAAGAAGACCCCTCCATCTTCTACAGCGTCGCCCGCGACATCCTCCCCACAACCTCCCGCTTCACACCCACCCACGCCTTCATCAAGCTCCTCCAGGACAAAGGAAAGCTCCTCACCAACTACTCCCAGAACATCGACAACATCGAGGGCGTCGCGGGCGTAAAGCCAGAGAAGCTAATTCAATGCCACGGCTCCTTCGCTACCGCCTCTTGCACGAAATGCGGCGCCCAAGTCGCTGGCGAAGCCATCTTCCCTGATATCCGCGCTGGCCTGATCCCGCGCTGCAAGCGCTGCGTGCAGTTTCTTCGTGTGGCAGCCGCGCCGGCAGCTATGAAGCGGAAACGCTCTGCTAACGGCAGCGAGCCGAAAAAGCGCAAGAAGGCTGAGTATGAGGATAGCAGCTCCGAGGAGGGAGGGGATGATGAATACGACCTCCCCGAGGCGGGGGTGATGAAGCCGGATATCACATTCTTTGGCGAAGCACTCCCAGATACATTTCATGATCGTCTGATGAAGCATGATAAAGATGTAGTGGACATGGTGATCGTGATCGGGACGAGCCTGAAAGTCGCGCCGGTGTCAGAGGTAGTTCCCTTCCTCCCAGCGCATATCCCACAGATTTACATATCGCGCGAGCCGGTGAAACATGTTAATTTCGACGTCGACATGCTGGGGGACTGCGACGTGGTGATCGCCGAGCTGTGTCGGCGCGCCGGCTGGGAGTTGGAGCATGAGATGATTCCGAAGGGGCAGAAGGTTGATGTGCAGCTTGTGGAGGAGTTTGAGAGTCGCTGGAAGATGGTGGAGGTGAAGAAGGCGAAGGAGTTGGAGTTGGAGTAGGGAGTTATGGCTAATGGAATATCAACGTGGAATGAATGCTTTAGCCTGGCGTTCGTTTGGGGGGGGGGGGTTATATATGGCGCGTTGGCAGTGGGCAACTGAGTATCGGTGGGATATTGAGCGGGTAGCGGTAGCTGTCACTCTGGCTTCGGCTTTGGCTTTGGCGTTGGGAAAGGCTCAACTTGAGCGACTATGAGCCTGCATACTGAGCTGGCGCATACATTTCAAGAGACGGGTGTTGTTCATCTTAGCGTAGCATTAGACAGAGCTTTTGCTTTGCTCTCAATTCTATACATTTCCTGCCATCTTACTATCAGAGCTCGGGGGGCAAGGTGTAGTTATTTCCAGCACTAGCACTGGGCTTTTGTATTGCGCTTCAATTATTCAAACTCCTCTCGTCTTATTACAACGGGATATAATTAACCCTCAAACCCGTTCTCAACCCTAACCCCCAACCCTCTTGCCCTCGCATTCCTGGCCTCAAAATCACACCATCTCCCCCCTCGGCCTGATTACCACAAATCACCCCCCAACCCCCCAACAACCTCACGATCCGCCCTCTGCGCTGACAGCACAAGGCGCAGCGACACGGGCATTTCTCTCTCACACCCGGTGCGCTGGTGTCGTACTGAGGTTGTAGCACATGCGGTTTACATGTCTCACACGCCACGCAACTCTGTGCACGCATCCTCTCCTCTCTTCTACCTACCGTAAATCTTATCTCCACCGCCGCTCGCTGCGCACAAGACCCAGCGGATCCCCCCGCAGCGGAGAGGCGCGTCCGTATACTGTGGAGGGGGGCGGGGTTTACAATCCAACACGGGGAATTACGAGTTGTAATCCCAAGATGTAATTTTACAAATTCACACTTCCGCACGTGCAGCTCATCTCAGGACAGCGCACGCGATGCATGATGACGCCCGCGCCCCCGGATCCCTCGCGCTCCCTCGCGGTCGGTATCGGCATGGTAACTTACACAAGTCTGTCTAAGCAGCAGCTCGCCCATTCCAGTCAGCTATCTGTGATCGTTCGCCGGGGGGCTGGGTAGCCTGGGCATTGGCAGGGCCAAGATGTCAAGAGCAATGCCCCTTTTTCCCCTCAGCATCGGCATGTGGATGGGCCGATGTGTGGCGGTGGTGTGGCGGTGGTGTGGCGGTGGTGTGGCGGTGGTGTGGCGGTGGTGTGGTGGTGTGGTGGTGGTGTGGTGGTGGTGTGGTGGTGGCCTTAAAAGCCTTAAAAGTGTAGTCATTTTAGTTGTTTTAAATGGACAGGTCACGTGCGTACTCCGTACCTTGCATGCATCCATCTCGGCAGACGGAGAGTACGCAACGCAAAACCTCCGTTCCCGATCGTCGCACCCGTCTCACCTTCAAACATTCTCATTCTCCCCAACGTCCTGGACGCTCATCAAAGGGAGGCGCAGCAACCTACAGAGTACCACGACAGAGTACCACTTGTCATTGTCACTTGTCACTTGTCACAAGTCCAACTGTTCCAACTGTTCCACACTATGTTTTGCCCAGCCGCTCACCCCAATCGAATCGGGCGCTCTTCGAGGCCGTTTTTATGGCCAGAGAGATGAGATGGTGATGGTAGAAAGAGAGGGCGGGAAAAAACGAATCATGATGGTCGTTGGTGAGTGCTTGTCTTGCTTGTTTCAAAGATGGCCCGCAAGCAAGCAGGTATCTAAAAACCCTTCTTGACCGCCACCCACGGCCGCTGGTTTGGGCCAATGAGGAAATAAAATGATATGACATGTCCTTGTCCCTTGTGCTCCTGGTTGCTTGCGGATTTCCTATTCAGAGCGTGTCGCCTCACCAAAACACAGCGATGTGAATTATAACCGTAGAAACGCTACGGAGTAGAACCGTAAAACCATAGAACAATCACTGGCTATCCCTGACAATTGCCGGCATTTTTCCTTCTCCTTTTTGCTTTCGCAGATCCCACTTGCGGCCTTTGGGCATAAAATAGCGCAGGCCCAGAAATGTGCACAGCCTCGTTAAGCGGATCCTAACTCATCAAAGTGCTCTCTTGGACATTCTTGGCGCCATTCCCACAAGTCCCTCGGACCCAGACCGACCACAACACTCATTTTTTGCCTTCGACAGCCGATGGCATTTCATACATGACAGTAGACTAAATACCTACCTTTCGGACCACCTTTGGATTCTAGATCATATGCCAGCGCCGCGAGACAGGTGCCTAACCCAGCCTCTTCTGAGCTCAGCTTCCTCTGGCAATCCCAAGACGCTCGAGGCCTTGTTATATCGACCCATCTGCGACAGCCATGACGACTCCTGACGGGCCACCGCCAGCCATGGGCGATCAACCTCGCCGCCAGCGCGCGTAAGTTGACTCTATCTATACATACCCCTTTGCCATCTGTTCCGTCTGGTCCAAGATTTGCAGCCTCTCGATTTCCACTCACTAACTCGGTGTGCTCAACCTCTACAGCCCCACGATTACAATCGATACTTCCGCCGTCAGTACTCCTGCCGCGGACGTCGAAAACTCGCAACAGCCAATAGCTCTTCGACCTCAGATGGTGTCACGATCAGGGTCGGAAGCATCGAACTCGAGCAACATCGACGCTGGAAACGCGTCGGCCCCGCGAATTAGCTCCACCAGCAATAGGAGTCAAGGTTCGGCGCCCGAATTCAGGAGCCATCCTTCCTTTGAAGGCAGCGAGAGGCCTAAGTCGCCACACAATGTTTCATCACCTACTTCGAAGAGCAACGACAAGCCGGGCGCCTTCCTTTCGGTGCCGGGCCGAGAACGTCAGGGTTCCGTAGATTCAGATGAGGCCTCGTATGGAGGCGAGACATACGTTCAGAATGGAGGTAGCTCCAGTGATAGGGATAGGGAGCACATCAACAACGACTACATCACGAATGATACGGATGCCTTGACCCCCGACCCGGGAACGGAGGAGGATTTCAAGCGCCAGGATAATAAGTTTGCCTTCACGCCAGGTCAATTGAACAAACTCGTAAACCCAAAGAGCTTAGCTGCATTCTTTAGCCTGGGAGGACTCGATGGGCTTGAGGCGGGACTGCGGACAAACCGTGATGGTGGACTAAGTGTCGAGGAGACATTTTTGGAGGGATCGGTTACTGTGGACAATGCTAAAACTCCCGCACTTGATAGACTCAAGAAAGCCTCGAGGACGGGAACGAGCGGATCGCACACAAAGAAAGGCCACGATTTATTCTCGGACCGCAAAAGGGTGTTCCAGGACAATCGCTTGCCAGAGAAGAAGGGCAAATCTATTTTCGAGATCATGTGGATTACTTACAACGACAAGGTCCTCATCTTGCTATCTATTGCTGCACTTGTTTCCCTTGCGGTTGGTCTGTACCAGTCGTTTGGACAGAAGCACGACACCGAAGAGCCACGTATCGAGTGGCTTGAAGGTGTAGCTATTACCGTCGCCATTGTTATTGTTGTTGTGGTAGGATCCGTCAACGATTACCAAAAGGAACGCCAATTCGTCAAGCTGAACAAGAAGAAGCAAGATCGCGAAGTTAAGGTCATTCGATCTGGAAAATCTAGGGAAATCTCTGTTTTCGATATCCTCGTTGGAGATGTCGTGCTACTCGAGCCAGGAGACATGGTGCCTGTTGATGGAATTTTTATTGACGGCCACAACGTTAAATGCGACGAGAGTTCTGCTACTGGCGAGTCTGATATCATCAAGAAGAGACCCGCAAACGAAGTCTACGAAGCTATCAAGAGCGGCCAAGATACCAAGAAGCTCGATCCATTCATTCTTTCCGGAGCCCACGTTACCGAAGGAATTGGAAGATTCATGGTCACCTCTACCGGTGTTAACTCCAGTTACGGCAAGATTATGATGTCTCTCAGGGAAGATCCAGAAGTCACGCCTTTACAATCCAAACTCAACGTTCTTGCCGAGTACATTGCGAAACTCGGTGGAGCTGCTGGTCTCTTGCTATTTGTCGTCTTGTTCATCAAATTCCTGGCTCAACTCCCTCAAAACACCGGAACAGCTTCCGAAAAAGGCCAGCAATTCTTGAGCATTTTCATCGTCACCGTCACTATTATCGTCGTTGCTGTCCCTGAAGGTTTACCATTGGCTGTAACTCTTGCTCTTGCATTTGCTACGACTAGAATGTTAAAAGATAATAACTTGGTCCGTCACTTGAAGGCCTGCGAAGTTATGGGTAACGCTACTGCTATTTGCTCCGACAAAACTGGTACTCTTACACAGAACAAAATGCAGGTCGTAGCCGGCACAATTGGAACTAGCTCTCGATTCGGTGGTACCACTGAGCCAAACAACGACGACGACAACTCGAGCAGGGAGAGACCCCCACCTGAGATTCTAGACAACATTTCAGCAAAAGAGGTTGCGGCCACTCTCGGCAGCGACGTCCAGGGCTTACTCCGCGAATCGATTGCTATCAACTCAACTGCATTCGAAGGCTTGGTAGACGGCGAAGAGACATTCATCGGATCCAAGACGGAGACTGCTCTACTGATATTCGCCAAGGAGCAACTCGGTCTCGGCCCCGTCAGCGAGGAGCGATCCAACGCAATTACTCTTCAGTTTGTTCCCTTCGATTCCGGCCGCAAATGTATGGGTGTCGTGATCTCCACCGGAGATGGCAAAGCACGTCTGCTCGTCAAGGGTGCTTCCGAAATTCTGCTTGATAAGTGCTCGCGCGTTATCCGCGACCCCACACAGGGAGTTGAGGATGCTGGCATGACTGAAGAAAACCGAAAGACGCTTAACAATCTCATTACCAGCTACGCCGAACGATCTCTACGCACTATTGGTCTCATCTACAGAGACTTCGAGCAATGGCCACCGAAGGATGCCCGCCGCGCCGAGGGTGAGAACGACGAAGTCTTGTTCGAGGATATCTTCAAGGACATGACCCTTCTCTCTATTGTCGGTATCCAGGATCCTCTACGCGAAGGTGTACGTGAGGCCGTCGAAGTCTGCCAGAAAGCCGGCGTCGTTGTGCGCATGGTTACTGGTGACAACGTGACCACTGCCAAAGCCATTGCTATCGATTGTGGAATTTTCACCCCTAGCGGCGTCGTCATGGAAGGACCAACATTCAGAAAGCTCAGTAAGAAGCAAATGGATCAGATCATTCCGTCGCTGCAAGTTCTTGCTCGTTCCAGCCCAGAAGACAAACGTATCCTCGTCAAGAGACTCAAGGCTCTTGGCGAGACTGTCGCAGTTACTGGTGATGGCACCAACGATGCCCCGGCTTTGAAGGGCGCTGATGTTGGATTCTCTATGGGTATTGCTGGAACTGAAGTCGCCAAAGAAGCGTCGGCTATCATTCTCATGGACGACAACTTTGCATCTATTGTCAAGGCAATGATGTGGGGACGTGCTGTCAACGATGCCGTCAAGAAGTTCTTGCAATTCCAAATCACTGTCAACATCACCGCCGTTGTCGTGACATTCGTCACCGCTGTATCCAGCGCAACCGAGAAGTCTGCCCTGACAGCTGTTCAGCTGCTGTGGGTCAACCTCATCATGGACACAATGGCTGCCCTTGCGCTTGCCACCGATCCACCAACCCCTAGCATCCTCGACCGCAAGCCTGAGCCAAAGTCCGCACCTCTCATCTCTCTTCGCATGTGGAAGATGATCATAGGAGAGGCTATTTACCAACTCGTCATTACCTTCATGGTCTACTTTGGAGCAGCCAACATCTTCTCTTACAATACGTCTCCACAGGATCCCCTTGACTTGTCCGAGCCTCCCGCGGAAACAGAGCTGGTTGGCACGCTCGTCTTCAACACCTTCGTCTGGATGCAGATTTTCAACCAATGGAAGTAAGTAAACCCTACAACCCCTATCCTTGATACAGAAAGTTAACCAGCCACAGCAACCGCCGCCTTGACAACAAGTTCAACATCTTCGAGGGCGTCCTGAACAACTACTTCTTCATCGGCATCAACATCATCATGGTCTCCCTCCAAGTCCTAATCATCTTCGTCGGCGGCAAAGCCTTCTCCGTCGAGCGCCTCGACGCCCGCGGCTGGGGCTACTCCATCGCCTTCGGCTTCCTCTCCATCCCCATCGGCGCCGCCATCCGCTGCATCCCCGACGAGCTCGTCCGCAAATTCATCCCCACCTATCTGCTCCGGTCGCCGGAAACCCCCGAACTCACCATCGAAGACGCCGAGGAGCAAATGCCCCTCCCCCAGCCCCTCGCCGACGTCAAAGAGGAACTCAGCTTCCTCAAGAAAATGAAGGGCGGCCGCATCAACAACCTCCGCTTCAAGGTCGGCCAGGCAAAGGATAACTTTATCTCCCGCTCCCGCAGCGGCTCGCGCTCCCGCTCAAACTCCACCGCTGGCATCCCCCAAGACGGCTCTGCGGAGGACGGCCCCGAGCACCCCCCTACCACCGCTGAATCCCGCAAGCGCGGCCGCGCGGGCCGCTCGCGCTCGAACTCCGCGTTGGGCGCTACGGCTGTCATGGCTGGTATCATCGCCGGCAGTGTGGCTGGGTGGTCGCCTATCGAGCGTCCGCATGATGAGCAGGGCTGGGGGCGCGGACGCGTGGACCTGGAGAATACGCCGGGGGGGGAATTGCACCCGGCGACGAGTCCGAGCGATAATTTGATTGTGGAGGAGCCGCTGGATACGGAGGCGCAGCTGCCGCCGAGTCAGACAGAGGATGTGCCGCATCCGATACCGGCGTCGGAGGGGTCGGAGGAGTCGAATGAGGGGAAGGGGGATAAGGATACTAAGCCTTGATGAGCTTCCTTCCTGTCCTATTTTAGAGACGTGAAAGACGTTGGACTATGGCGGTTATACGATTACTACTATCATTGGGCGATTGGCGTTGGGTGGTGGCTTGAGTGCCGATACACCTTGCATACACACACACATACCTCCGCCCCACTGGGACGCCACTATTTATTATTTTTTTTCCGCCATCAAGAGACATAGCTCTTCTCAGCCTATCTCACCAAGAAACATGGCTCTTCTCAGCCTGTCGATTCATATTTCACACACACCACTTGCCATTTTTTATACCGTCTGGAGAAGCAGAAGACCTGGGTACCACGGCGTTTTTTGTATTTCGAGAGGGGGATCCTGCATATGTGTGCCCCTGTGTTGGGCGAGGAGGAAGAATTGGAGAGAGAGTTAATGGTGTTACGGGACGCGCGCTCAATGCGTGGTCGGCCGTGCTGACTGTTTTGTATGTACTGTATGAGTATACGGAGAGGGAGGTCTCGTGTATATGTGTGTGGTGGACTATAAAAAGAGTTTTGAAGGAAGGGTGGTTAGATGAGTGAATTGGAGGGGATTAGTCTAGTAAAGACAATAATCATTAGCACGTAATGGCTTGGTCTTGAGGTGTGCTTTTGGTTGTGTATGTGACTGATATGGCATGAAGTGTTTTGTACGATTTGTGTGTGGAAATGAGATAAGATGTTGGAGGTTACACTTCAGCTCAGCGCCTATAACTCCTTTGAGGCCGTGCAAGTACTCGTAATGTTCCAACCATTGTTTCGTCGCTCTCTATATGCATTCATGCAACCAGTGGGTCACCACAAGCTTTTCCTAATAATAACATTCAAATTATCCATATTCACCATTCAGAGGCTCTATAATCAATCACTGCAGTGCAACGGGACTTCATGCATTTTTTGTTTCCTCCGCATTAGACGACGTAGAGGGACATCAGCCATCTCGGAAAATTTCGTGTCTAGGCGTTGTCATGCCTTTTCGTTCCGAACAAACAAACACCACACCGCAAACTCTCCCTCCCCCTCCCTTAAAGTCCTCATAATCCCCCGACGGTATATAATTACCTCAAACCCCCTCCATCCAGTAAAACCAACCCGAATCTATTCAAACAAACAGCGGCATTAGTGATCCAGTCAACCTACACGCGGGACAAATCGTGTCACTAGCGCCGTCCCAACCGCGCGCTAAAATGGGTCTTCTTACCACACCCACCCAAACCAAACGAACATCTCTCCTCACCGCACCTCACCCAGCATCACCACAAGCTTATTGGCACCACCACGCACTGCCACCACACACACACACACATACACTGGACATACCAGTTGTCCACACACGCCGCAACAATGCAACCGCTCCTCCGCAGCGCGCACCGCTGCACGCTCAAGCCACTCCGCACTGCCGGTACCGGCGGCAAGACCACAACACGCGCACTATCGGCGACCACCCGCGCCAGAGCGGCCGCAGAGGGCGAGAGCCACTATGATCCACCCACGGGGTGGCTGTGGGGCGTGAAGCCGGGGGAGAAGTATGAGAAGGAGGGGTGGGAGGGGGTAATGTTTTGGGGGTTTGGGGGGGGGTTGGTGGCGTTGACGGTGGGGTATGCTTTTAAGCCTGATACGTCGTGAGTTTGCTCTTTTCTGGATTTAACTACTCCGAGGGGTGGTGAGGAGGCTGTGGGGAGGAAGGAGGGGACGAGGCAGAGGCTAATTGGGAAATAGGATACAGACTTGGGCGCTTGAGGAGGCGAGGAGACGGTTGGAAGTTGAGGGGATCTTGAAGGAGCCTGAGTCGAAGGAGTAGAGCTTGCGAGCTATCGAATTGTGCCCAGGAAACCCGAAACGATTGGGGGAAAAGACATGACGGGGGGATTGAAGGGCGGAGAGACGTATATACGGAATTTTGCTGGATTTTTCCGGCGGCGAGTTCGAAGTCGATGAGGAGCTTGATTAGACTGATGGTGGCTGTTGAGATTGGATGAAAGCATATTACACATAGAGTGTGGTGTTGAGCTGGCATTGTGAAGAGAATCTTATTTGAGTTTTGTTTTTTATGACTTGTTTGGGTGCATTGTGGTTGTGTTTATATGTGGAGGTCCTAGCGATGCTGTGACTCCGACAAAGGCAGGCTTCCTGATTAATTGCTTCTTAAAGGGGATTGTATGAGATATGATCCCACCCTTTTGCTGCCTCATATTGACCAGCTATAGATCTAGCATGAGGCAGGTATGCCCAAACCATCCACACAATCCACACAATCCGAAGCACCACCTCTGGGCAAGAGCTTCTTACCTCAACCGCCCACGCCCCGCAACTCAACCATCAAAGCCTGTCCGATATTTCTAGACTTCGATGCCAAATATTTTTCCATATCTTGGATCGAGAGGCGGGGTTTCGGGACGGGTTCTTGCTAAGAGCGGGTAGGGGCGTGGGAAGGAGCTACTATATAAATAAACGTTTATCTAATTTCTCAGGGCCAGACAGAGATATACTCATCGGCGTATGGCAAATTGTCCTTGAGGTAGGTTTGCTCTTGCCACGGCTTCTGGAGAATCTGGTGTTGTGCTGTGGGCAGGTAAACGAGGGTTGGATTGTTGGGGGAGGTGGCACAAAGTTGTGGCGACGAGAAGCTGCGGTGAGAAGAAGTTGATGGTGACGAGACGCTGCGTCGGCAAGAAGCGGCGGAAGAGAGGAGTTACAGATGGATGGCTTCGTCCGTGGTTATATGTTTCTGGAGTGTGGCCCGCAGCATCCTTGGTATAGGTTTCCACGGCCGCGTGGTCGGCAGTGCCTTTTGCGGTGTCTGCCTCCGCAAGCTTCGTGTATAGCTCGCAAATTAAACTCCTTCCGCAAACTTACAAACCACTGAACTTTCTCCTGCTCTGAATAACACTGGTCAAGAGAGGGATATAGCTACCAAGAAGCGCGAACGAGGTGGCTAAATGGACAGTTGATATGGCGATGATTCGCATTCTGCGCTCGGGTGTATCGATCGAAGAGGCTGTCCGACTTGGTCTGCCAGCTCGACAAAGAGGCTTGCACTCACTCAGAGTTCGTGTACTTGCCTCAGCGCTTTTTTAGCCTCGTTCTGAAGCCTTGCGGATTCTGCGACCTGTTTAACCATGTCCTTCCTTTCACTCCTCACCTCGCAACTCAATCACCTAAACCTCTACGAGATATCCCAACTTTGATGTCATGGAGACGACGGCAAAGGCACGGTTCACATATTACCTTGAAATATTTTCTAGGATATCTTTGGTTCGGCTGACGGGGGTTCGGGACGGCGAAGAGGGGTTATGAAGAGTCAGGGGCGTGGGAAGGAGCAACTATTAATAAACGGAGACTTTAGAGCCAGATCAAATAAATGCGTCATGACATACTAAGCCAACCGGTTAGGAAGCCTCCTGTCCTATCGCCCTTGTCATCTTTCCGTCTGGGGAACCTGGTGTTGCTGGTGGCTGTGGGCTGTGGACACGTCAATAAAAGGGCCACCCGGTACGAAATATTATAATGAGTTCACTTCTTGCCGATATTAGATCACACGAGGAACAAAAACTACTCTCATTTGACGACACCATACTAAGAGACATTTTTGGATGATGTTGGCACACTTTGGCATAAGATGACGGTAATGACGGCGATTGAAAGGATGGTTAGGACAACCCCAGTCCTCCATAGACGGGAAGAGCTGCTATACTCAACAAACGATGCGGATGAACGCGGCCAGTACACGGTTGCCCTAGATTGTTGTGGGGGGTGGCACAAGAGGCTGTAGTAACTAGAAGCTGTAGTTACAAGAAGCTATGGTGGCAAGAGGCAGTGGTAACAAGAAGCTGTAGTAATAAGAAGCTGTGGTGACAAGAAGTTGCAGTGACAAGAAGCCGCGGAGAAAGCCATCGGCTACAAGGCTTACACGATATGGCTTCCTCCGCAGTTATGTGAGAACTTCGAGAAGAGTAGTGTGAAGTACAGAATGTCGGTGATCGATTTCAAATCCGGTTTCACAGACTTGGAGGCCCATTTCAGTACTCGTATGGACGACAAGAACGCCCACTCGAGATTGGTATGGCTCAACTTCAAGTCGACCTTTATTCCCTCCTGAGAAAGTTTGAATTCCGCGGCGAGATCCTTCTCAGTGTTCGGCGGATACATATCCGGGTAGTATCCGTGAAGCTCACGGGTAGGGTATATACCCGGCGACGATCTGACGGGTAGGGTAGGGTATATATCCGGATACATGAGGCTGAATATTGTATATAAAAATAGAATAGCGTATATAAAAAAGAATGAAGCTTTTGATAATAGTAGTAAACCCCTTTCCGCGAGCCCCCTTTCCGTGAGACCCCCCCTTTCTGCGAGTCCCTATTCAGGTGCTTCATCGTCAGCATCATCGCCGTCGCTATCAGCCTCCCGTATTTTACCCCAATTCCGTAAGCAAAGTAAATATCTAATAGTTGGCGGTGATAACCTATTCCGCTTCTTTGTAATAATATCACTACCATTACTAAATACTCGTTCCGATGCTGCAGATGTTGCTGGAATAGCTAGATGATCACGAGCAATACGGGCAATAACTGGATATTGGTATTGCTTTGCGCACCAATATTTGAGAATATCAGTATGCTCACCGGGCCGTGGTTCAAGCATCCAGCGCCTCCATTCTGGCTCTTGAAAAGCCAAGCCTTCTGACGCAAATAGATCTTCGTCAGAATCAGGTTCTTGATCTATTGTAGCAGTAGCACTTATTGCTTCTGCAAGAGCTGTTTCGTGAGTAATTCGCTCCGTATCAAGGTGATACTCTCGCTTTTGGTACGTTCTACAAACGTCTTCGAACTGCGCTCTTGCTCGTAATCTTCGTGTATCGTCTATAGCATTTGGATATATCTTCTTAAATACTGTATGATTCATTCGTGGGTCGCAAATTGTAGCAACAGCTGAGTGCTTACATTGCCGATTCGTTGTAAGAGTATAATACTCATTAAGCTTTTGAAGCGCAGCTCCACAAGCTACTCCGATCGTAGAGCTTCTACCAAGCTCTTCTTGTAGTAATGTGACCTTATTTATCATCTTTAAGTAAAGAGGAATTGTAAAGTTGAGCGTTGGATATGAATCGCTTTGTAGCCGTCTTGACGGCTTTAAGAATACTAAGAATAATCGTTCAAGAGCTTCGATAATAGCCCAATCGTTGCTTGTTAACGCAATATCCTTCATACTGATATCAAGCTTCTGCGTAGAGCATACTGCAGTAATTGGTATTCGAAGCTTTATAGCTGTTTCAAGCATATAGTACGTTGAATTCCAGCGTATAGGCATATCAAGTGATAGCTGGCGTGGCTTCTGGCCTGCAGCTTGTATCTGCTTCTGTAAAGCATCCTTCCATGCTCTTCGGTTTCGAAAGACATAAATATGCCTTCGGAGCTTCTCAAGCGTAGCTGATACTTCAGTAGAAGAGTTATCAATACGCTGCGGAATCCGGGCAAGCCCTTGCTGACACCAGTACGCTTCTGTTTCTGTATCCGGGCTAGCTTTCAAGCTCTTTAGAGTAGCTTGAACTGCAAGATTGATAATATGAGCAATACACCGAACGTCCCCTTCCTTTACAGTAAACGTCCATGGCTGTTGAATAGTCGTCTGCTGCTTACTGGCTATTTTCTCATATTCTGAAAGCATCACAGTATTCGCTGAGGCATTATCCCGCGTACAAGTAAATATAGCACCTGTAATTTCGAAGCTATCTGTTACTGCAGCTAACTCTTGAGCGAGATATTCGCCGCTATGAATTGGCTCTTGAAGGTGGATTACATCAAGTAATACGCACCGGTGCTGCCACTTCTCATTAATCCAATGGCCTGTGACAGCAGCGTACTCTGTATAGTTCCGTGCAGTCCATGCATCTGTTGTAATAGATATCCGGCCGCCATAGGTAATATGAGCCTGGAGTTCTAATTGTAGCAATCCTCGGTGATATGAGAATTGCCGCTGTAGCTCTCGGTGTAGTGTTCGCGACGATATCGATAGAGTACTTGGGCTTAAGAACTGTACTAATTGATGGAACGAATAGCTCTCAATAAGTCGTAAGGAGAGGTTATTTGATACAACGAATGAGAGTAATAACTCTCGGTATTTCGCTCTACTATTTGATGCTTGAGCTTGAGCGGGCTGGACTTGCGGGTTCCGCGGCCGTGGCTCAAAAAATAACGATGCACTACTTGATGGGCTTGACGGCGTAATTGTATGACCTTTCATTGTATATGCTACTGTTGGATGCTTCTGCGTATAGTGCTTCCAAAGATTACCGGTTGAAGTCTGACTTAATAGCTGCGGAGTAGGTGAATATCCGCAGCCTGGTTGTAAGCAAGTTACTTTGACTGTAGGTGGGTTACTATCAAGTATCAATCGCGAATATAATAGCTTCGTAAATAGTACCGACGACGTTGGTGGCAGCATTCGTCCTGGAGGCTGAAGCCGGAGCGGTGTAGGATTAATATCCTGTTGAATATGAATAGGGGGTGGCAGCGTTGGCAGACTTGGCTCATTATAAGTATCATAGCTATTATAGCCCTCAGGCTCCGTTGGTATATCTGATAACGACGAGTCGCTCATTCTGAGGATAATTATCACTTTATACAGCATCAATATAGATCTCACGGCGTTGGAAAAAAGAGGTCTTGGCTGCGCTTGGCTATTCTTGGCATGTATCCGGATATATACTCGAGAGTATCCGGATACGCCGGATACTCCTAAAATATCGCCGGGTAGGTATATACTCGAGGATATACCCGGATACCACGGGTATATTGGTATCCGTGCCGAACACTGATCCTTCTTGCCTCGCTCGAATTCTTCACTGTGAAGTCTTCAGAAGACTTCACAGCATGTCTTCAAATCTGCGGCTAAGGATGTAAATAGACTTTTATAAATATAGTTCAAAGGGGGTAAAGTTTGTAATAGATATCAACGCCTTAAATCAAATGATCACGCCTTATCCAGCTCTCAATATATCCAAAACCCCAGCACAACGCCCCAACAGATAGACCCCCTTACCGTCTCCCCAAATCAATCTTCCTAACCTCCACCATCCCCCCCTCCTCCCCCCTCGCCTCCCCCCCAAAGAACGGCTTAACCGCCACATCCACCACCCCCTCCCACAACCCCTCTACCACATCCGCATGCGCCTCCCCCGTCTGCCCAAAATCCGGAAACGCATTAACCTCCAACAACCACACCCCCCCCTCCTTATCAACGACAAAATCCACTCCAAAGACCTCAAACGCATTCGGCAGCGCCTGAAAGTGCGTCCCCATCGTCCTCGCCGCGCCCTCGAACAACTCCCCCGTCACTTCGCAGATCTGCGCGAACACGTCCTCCTGCCATGAACTAGGCAGACCGGGCTGCGTGGCGCCAAGCTCCCAGAACGCGGCTACGGATCCGTCGCGAGACCCGTCTTGGAGACAAGTGTTTGTGAGGTGTGCGCGTAGGTCGGGGAGGGCGGCGGGCGCGGTGTAGGGCGTCCCTGCGAAGAGGGCCAGCATGGGGCGGTAGACGTAGACCGTCAGAGCACCGATGGCGAGGACGTAGGTGCGGATGTGGAATTTGTGGGGGTTGTCTTGTAGGAGAAGAGGGGGGTGGATGTACGGCTGCGTAATGAAGTGGCGGAGTTGGGAGGTCATGATGTAGTCCTTCCCATCATGCATGTTCGCCTCCCCATCATCCTCTTCTTCGTCGTCGGACTCGGGACGCTCGGCTTCCCACTCGTCGAAGATGGATTGGAGGGTTTCTTCTGAGTCGAAGAGGCGGATTCCTTGGCCGCGATCGCTCATCCCGGGTTTGAGGATCCACCACTCCCTTTCGCTCTCTTCTTTGTCTGCATTACGCGCGAACATCTCGTGGAGCTCGAAGCATTCGACGAGCGCGTCGTCGAGGAACTCGGCGTAGTCGACTTCGAAGTGCACGGTGGGGGCGATGTGTTTCGCGAGGGCGGTGGAGGGGTTCTTGGTGCCCCAGGCGTGCGCGGTGGCGGAAAGATAGTGTTTCCGGATGAGGGCTTTGCGGATGATGTAGGCGTTTGCGAGGGTGGTGGTGGGTTGAGAGAGGAGGGTGTCGAAGGGGAGTTCTTCGTATTGCTGGATGTGGAGGGTGGGAGATAGGGAGTTGATAGGGATGGAACCGGGCGAGATGAGGGTGTATGAGTCTTTTGGTAGGAGTTTTGAGAGAGCCGAGAGAATGAGTGGCTGCACGTAGGTATCGCCGTAGTCGATGAGGGCGTTGAAGTGCTTGATGCCTGCTGCAGGGGCGGCGAGGGAGAGATCTTGCATGCTCTGTGGTAGTGAGACCGGGTTTGACTTTTCGGATGTTCTGAGCGGAGAAAAGCAAAAGTCAATGTAAAGCGCGCGATGAGCAAATGGGGCCAAAGCAATTGCAAAGGGAATCAAAATCTGCTTGTATTGGTCTAACACGAGGTCTAATGCTCTATGCCTTTTTCCATTTCAGCCCGCTAAGTAATGCCATCGTACTCACAGCGTAATCTCGCCTTGTTGCTTCCCCGTCGCTTGCATGAAGTTTGCTTTCAGTGGTGTCACGCTGTGATTTTGTCAGGTATGGAATTCCAAGGTCGCGCGGAATGGTTTCAAGACTTACCTCGTGAATCCCTCCTTCACTACCCACCCGTCATTGCCAGGCGGGGCATCTTCCACACTCTTGTAGACGTCCGTAAACCTCGGCGACCATTTGAAGTTCCTATGCTGATGCGGTATCGGCGCCTTCCCACCACCATTCTTCTGTTCAACCTCTCCTTCCCTAATCTTGTACTCCTCCTCATCCGCATCCTCGGTATCCTCAACAGCCTCAAAGCAGCTACCCGGGCCCCAGTAATTCTGCAGCATATCCGTCCAGAAGATCTTCTTGTTCTCAACATCCGGCACAAGCGGCACATTCACCGTATATACATCGGTATTCGCATCCCAATTCGCCACGAGGTGCTCCACGATCTTGACACTCAACCTCGACGCACCCGCAATGATCTTCGGGTCGTGCTCCCGCGTCAAGAACGCATAGCTCAGCGCAATCGCCTTTCGCTTACAAACTGCTGCCTCGAGCGCGCCTCCCAGCGTCCCCGAGCTCAGCGCAAAGCACGCCGTGGTATTGCGGCCGTAGTTCGGCCCGCTGAGAACGACGTCCACTGGTCCGCGCTCCTGGAAAAAGTAGTACAATCCGATCTGGACGCAACTAGCGGGGGTGCCGTCAACGAGGACCCAGTCGTCGCCTGCCGGCGAAGGGCGCTTCAAGATCACGCCGTCGTCTTCGTGGAGGGTGCCGGGGCGGAAATACGTCGGCTTCACGGTCTGCCCGATGATGTGCGCTTTGCCGATCCAGCTGCGCTGTTCGCGGGGCAGGATGATGGAGACGACATGGCCGGCTTCGAGGAGGTTGTTGACGAGGGAGTGGACGTAGGGGGAGCTTTGGTTGCTGGGGGGCCCGTCGTCATTGACTACCTGGCGGGGTTATCAGCGACCCCTCACTCGCTCGGTAATGGATGGGAGACTTGGAGATGGGGGAAACCTACCAGGATATGCATATTTGCGAATTCTGGATTCTTTGGGGATGAGCTATTCGGCGCTGCAAAATAAAAGACGCTTTCGAGTATATTTTGTGTTGCAAATTTTGTACGGCGGATGGTTGAGTTCCTGAGTCGCTCTACTATCACGGCATCCAGGGACCAGTGGCGGGTAGAGACTAGCGAAATACCCTTGTCGGAACCTTTTTCTCAAAAAACTGCTTGGCGCCAATAATCACGTGGGAGATGCCGCCGTCAATCAACTGGCGTCTCAAAAGCCGCTCGGAAAGAAACCAAGCCATGGCTTGCGATCGAGGCAAAATATCCTGCTTTCCCTCATTGGAATAGGCCTTGAATTACTGATATTGCAGCGCTGACATTGGACAGTTGTTGCAGTTGCCAAGTAGCCCGCAGTACCCAGAAGCCCAGCAGTACCCAGACCAAGGAAGCCGACCAGACGGACATACCAGCAGGTGACGGCCCCGTTCATATCCTGTGTTAACTACGCTGGGAGATCATGAGCGTGCTTCTCATACGAAACTGATGTGAATTTGAGGTGAATTTCAAAGTTGTTAGTTAGATGGTCCAACCTCGACAGTAATAGGGAACACACGTATGACAATATCAGGAGGGGAATTTTAGTGGCGGGTATCATCACTAAGGGACATTCAGGGACCATTCGTATTTGAATTCGCTCTTTTATTGGCGCAGTTATTCTAGTCTACATTATCCAGCAACCAGTAACCATCCTCTGGCTTCTTTTCTCCAGTCCATGTTACATTGAACCCCTATTGACTCGTCCTACTTCATATTCTCACCCCATGTATCCCACCCCCATTTGCCCTGCCCAGTGCATCCCAGAACCGGAAAGATTTCGTTGCGCCATTGTGTGTAAAGCCATGAGAGTCGTGCCGTATGTATCAGGTTGGTATTAATTGAAAAAAGAGAGTCGCGGTCAATGCATCGTCGTTATACAAACAGGAAAAAAGGACATCGTGTCCAAGCGCCGCGCCAGTGACGACAGCGTGATGAAAGAGAGCAGGCTGGATACAAAAAGCTGCCATGTAGCAGATAGATCCAGGCCATGCAAAGAAAGATTTAGCCACGGACACGTTTGTGATTTCCGGTGTCGAAAGCGGACACGACGTCACTGCCCCTCTTTTGACCTTTGGGTTTGGTGCGCTGCCAGCTCTCAAATGGTGATGCTGAGCCTAAGCTGGAGAAGCCGGCCCCGGCCATGCCATCATCGGAGGACACCTTCTTGGAGCGAGTCGTTCGGGCCACGGTACTTGGCGGCGAGACAGGTGCAAATCTTGGAGCACGTGGAGTTGCAACCTTGTCGGTTTGCAGGGAAGGAGTAGCGAGGGCGTTGCCTTCTTCGATGTCGGTGTCAGCTTCCTCGTCAGCTTCGCTGTACTGGCTGTCCCTCTCATCGAGTTGCCTTTGGGTGGGGAACAGAAGACGAGGCTTCATGGAAGATCGAGTAAGAGGACCACAAAGTCTGGAAGGGACGGTAACATCAACCTCATCCTCAACTTCATCGGCAGCAGAAGGACGTGATTGTATCTCATCCAGGTCACTGAATCTGCGGAAGATTTTCTTGCCACGGCTAAAAGTGTGTTAGTGGGAGTCGGGTGAATTTTAGATCGATCTACTCACAATACATATACAAGGCCATCTTTGCGCTCTTCATCTTGAGCCTCCTCATCTGCACCGTTGGACTCGCGTGGCTCGACTCTTCTGCGCTTGCTTCTCCGTTTCGATGGCTCGTCAGCTGTGATCACCTCTGGCCCGTAGAAAGGGTTGTCAGAGCTCGCGTCAACTTCCGGAAGGCGTTCCTTGGAATCCGTAAAGATGGCAATTGATTCATCCTCATCTTCGCCATATCCGTCGAGGGAAAACCCTTTGTACTTCTTGCGTTGGCTCTTGGGAGATGGCATCGCCTGCTCGACAGTTTCGAGGCGGACTGGGAAGAGGTTTCGGGCGATCGATGTGATCGTTGGGGTTTTGGTTTCTGCACGCTTCTGCGGCGTCTTTGCTGGAGTTGGAAGCATCTCGTTCCTTGTGCCGATGGAGGAGTAGAAGCCCTGTGGGGAACTGGCACCTCTTGTTGTTTGGGAGGAGGCTTGGTCTTCGCCCAAAAGTGTGGGTTTGTTTGCTCGCTTGCGTGAAATGGTGGAAGGAGGTGTAATATTGGAAGAGCCAGAAACACTGCGCTTTGTGGCAGACTGAGGGGAGGAGTGTGCGGATCTAAGGTTGTGGTTGGAAGCGGGAGGTGGTGCCTGTGCCGAGCTCTCACGTTGTGATGCGACGCGAGTTGACTTTCTGCGCGCGTAAGGTTGGTAGTCGTCTTCTAATCCGAGTCGTGGGGTTGGAGGAATCCTGATCCGCGAAGTGGGAGGAGGAGTTGTAGTCGCGCCTGCCATGTTGACAAATAAAGGCTTCGTTTGTGGTTTTGTGGTTTGAAGGTTTATTCGCGGTCGCTTTCTGGCAATTCTGTGTCCACGGAGACTGAGTAAATAGCCAATCTGTCCAGCAGAAACAAAGCAGCTGTATATATAAGGGGGTTGCAATTAATTTCTCGATTGTAGAAGTTGTGGTTGAGGGTCTGTTGTGGTCGCAAAGTTGAAGTCTCAAAACAGAGTTACAGAGAATTGAGCTTGGTCGTGGCTTGTTTTGGTTGGTAGTCTTTCGCTAGTTGCGCAGAACCCAATAATTGAACTGGCGCAATAGGATATCAGAAGAATAGATTCAATAGCTTCCAATAATAGTTGAACAATAAAGAGCCCTTGACATTGTTTATGTATTATGGTGGATTTGCGCAAAAAGTTATGTGGTGATGGTGTATAAATGGGGTTTGGGGATGTGGTTGTCCCAACTACGCACAATGAGGAGGCTGGGACACTGAAATTCCCCACTAAGCGACCAAATAGAGGAGGCTGAACAAGGCCCGTGCACACACCTAAAGTACGCCGTCGACAGGGCTGAAGACGCGTCCAATTCCCCATCCCCCACGACGCGTCAACCAGATCAGATTCCATAAATACACGCGTCAAAATTGTATACAAGTACCATCACTACCCCCTCCAACCCACATCAAACGACACAAAAAATGGCACCAGCCGCCTCCGAGAAGCTCGACATCTCCGACACCGAGGAAGACCTCTTCGCGTCGCCCTCGCGCTCCCCCCGCGCCACCTCCTTCCCCAAACCCGCCGTCGCCGCTGCTACAGCAGAAGCCCCCCGCGAATCCCGCTACGACGCCGAAGCCGCACGCACAGCGACCTTGCAGCGCGAGCTTGCCTCATTGCAAGACACAAATGCAGCGATCGAGGGGGTAATCGCATCGCTTGAGAGTGCACGGGGGAGCATGGGCACCGTGTCGACGACCGTGACGTCCGCATCAACGCTGTTGAATACGTGGACGCGCATGCTGGGGCAGACGGAGCATAATCAACGGCTGCTGCTGGATCCGAATTGGAAGGGCGCGAGTCAGGATCTGGTGGATGCGGAGAATGAGGTTGTGATGAGGGCGCAGGCGGCGGAGAGGAGGGCGGCGGAGGAGGCGAGGCGGAGGGAGGAGGCGAGGGCGAAGGCGGAGGAGGAGGAGAGAGTGAGGTTGGCTGGGGGAACTACGAGGGGGAGAGTGAGCAGGGGGAGGGGGAGGGGGAGGGGGTTAAGAGGGAGTGTGACAGGGTCGTCGGTGGGGGGGCAGAGACCGGCGTCGGGGCTTGGAAGGACGGCGTCGCAGAGGGGGTCGGGTATTGGGAGGGGAGGTGTTGCGAGTACAAGAGGCAGGGCTCGTGGTGTGAGATGAATGGAGTACGAGAAGATGCTACAAACGCAATTCTATCGACAGTGGTCACGCTGCCGTTGTGTGTACGTTCAGTACAGAGTCGATCCAAGGACGACGCGATCGGTCTTGGCGATACGGCCCAGTTACCAACAGCAGGGCCAGGAGAGGACCATTTGAACGTAGGTTGTTGGCTAAATGGTTCCTGTGGCTGGTATTTTGAGGCCTTGGCTACTGTTAGACTATCTGGGACCAGAAAGCTGGATGGCCATACAGTAGGAACTCCAAGTGAACCTGGAACGACATGGCAATCACAATATACAAGTCGCTACATATACCATGGACTTGTTACTGTGTTCATTAGCATCATGTCCCCTAAAGAATTGAAAACTATACTCCAAGGAAGCTGCGACTGATAATCATTCCTTCCCTATATAGAGGGCTTGAAAGTTTTGAGGAAGCTACGACTGAGTGTGCTTGGTAATCGTTCGTCCATATATAAAGTTTGAAAGCCCCGAGGAAGCCACGACTGGGTTTGCTTGATAATCATTCCTTCCCTGTATAAGACTTGAACGTTCTGAGGAAACTGCGATGGAGTTTGCTTGGTAATCGTACTTTCCATATATATATATAAGGTCTGAAAGTTCCAAGAGCTGCGACTGTGGCCTTGCATGGTCATCGTTCTTGCCATATATAGGGTTTGAAAGTTCCGAGGAAGCTGCGACTGAGTTTGCTTGATAATCGTTCTTTCCATATAAAGGGGTTGAAACTCATGAGGAAGCTGCGACTGAGCTTTTGCTTGGTAATTGTTCCTTCTATATACAGAGCTGAAAATTAAAGACGTGTCAGTCAAATAAATAGCATTGTATGAGCTCATATTAGAGTAAATTCGAATATGACTATTCTACTAAAGCCCTAAGAGGTATCTAAAGTCCAATCCCCCCTACATATCTCCATCCCATCCATTCCTCCTTCCCTATACCAACTTTCACCCCCAACCTTTGCGGGAACGAGACAACAATCCAATGCCCAAACGCACAGCCTTATTAACATCGTAAAACATAAAAGTCAAATCAAATCGCCCGCTCGCTAGCTCGCTCACTATCAAATGATATCCAGTTCAATGCAAATAATGAACTTAAATCTCCTCGCACTCATTCTTGCGGCTCCCCGGCAGCTTCAACAACTGGCTCGACGGATTCGGTTTCTGGCACCACAGGCTCGGACTCGACTGATTCGGCCTCAACTGGTTCAGCGTCAACTGGTTCAACGTCAACTGGTTCAGCGTCAACTGGCTCAGCGTCAACTGTTTCGCCCTCAACGACAGGTTCGATAGACTCCACTGCTTCCTCTACGGCAGCGGAGAAAGGCGAACCCTCCTCAGCTAGATCGACCTGCTCATCTTCGACAACAGGCTCAGAGGCGCCCACTGCCTCCTCGAAAACTTCTGTAGAAGCAGAAGCCTCCTCGGTTGCCTCGACCTGAGAGGCAGAGCTAGATTCTTCAACTTCTTCGGGAATTGAAGAAGCTTGTTCCTCCTGTGCCGGCTCTGCCACTTCAACGACCGTTTCCTCCTCGTTTACTGACGCCGCTTCGACAGCTTGTTGTACCTCAACAGGAGCTGGGACAGGACCCTTAGCCTCCGCTTCCACAACCTCAATATACGCCGCCTCCTGCACAGGGACCTGAACAGGAACCGCCATTTTCTCCTCCACAACTTCAGCCTTAGCCACAACTTGCACCGGAGCCTGCTCTGGTGCGTATATTTCCTGCTGCTCAACCCTAGCCACCATCTGTACGACCGGCTGAACAACATCAGCAGCCACGCGGGCCGCAGCCGCCGCCTCAAACTTCTGCATCGCCATCTCCTGCATCTGGAAGCTGTTTACTGGCGGCGCTCCACCGGGCCTAAGAGCAAGTAACAGAACGACCAGACTCAGCAGGAAAATCATGACGTTCTTCTTGTCTTGCAGGAGCACTTTGGCAGCAGCCACAAGGAGCGTGATGAAGGATTCGTCCTGCTGATGGCGGGCAGTGGGACGTCTGCTCGAGGGCCTTTCGTGTTGCGGGTGAGGATCGTGTTGTGGATGAGGATCGTGTTGTGGATGAGGATCGTGTTGCGGGTGGGGAACTCGCTCCGGTGTTTGAGATGCCTGTTCACCATATATTTCCCTCAACCGCATCGCATCTCTTTCACTCCTCGCAATGTCGGCAAAGTCGACATGGCTTTCCTCCTCTGGGGCTTTAATCTTAACAGAAGGCACTGGCTCCTCCATAATACTATGGTGAACCTCCTCAAAATGTCCCTCGTCGGGGGTCTGATGCGCCATGACCGTTTCGGTCAACTCATTGATCTCTTTCGCGGCAGTAGCCTCAACCCACGGCGTAATCTCCACATCCACCCTCTCCATCTCCCTCCAACACGCCGCCCACGCACCAGCGCCCATAAGTCCATTCGACGCAAACAGCTTAACCTTGAAACTCTTCTTTTGCCGCCCTGGCATCGAATCGTACTTCCCGAAGCGAACATCACGGCAGCAGATGTCGCACCACAGAGACTTGGTAGACACTTCCGAGTCCAGGTCCTCGGAATCAGAGGAGTCGGATGCGGAGAGCTCGCTGTCGGAGAAGGATGTCGATGGTCCGACGTAGTGTCCGCAGGCGAGGATCTTGGCGCGGGGGCGCATGGGCAGCTCGAGTGCAGCACAGAGTCTCTCCTCGAGAGTCTCGTATGAATCTTGGGGATGGGGTAGTAGGACGCCTCGTTCGAACACAGTATCGCCGAGTTTGTCTTGTAGCAGCTTCCAGCTCTCTCGTACAGCTAGAAGGTCTTTTGATAGCACATCTGGTGGCGCTGTGTCCATTATCTGGGCATGTTGCCAATATAATGGGAGGACAGTGACGTGTAATAGAACTAAGGGATGCTCTTCCTTTGCTTTGAATTTGGTGGGGGTTCTGTGCTTCGTGAGTGATGACTGATGTCTGTTTGGCGTGGATATGCGCGAGCTGTTTACCCTCTTACGCGACGTCGGTGAGCCGGAAAAGACTGAGGGCGTCGGGCTGGACATCTGCATTGCCCGTACTGAGCTTGGGGTCCGGAAAGGAGGGCGGTTGAGGACTTTGCTGGGCGTGTGAGGTGAAGTTACGGACGAGAAAGATAGCGGCTCTGGTAGCATAGAGTAGGCGTTTGAGGCCATGCTGGGAATCCGAGATATTGTTTCAGGTATGTTGTTCATTTCATTGCCCAGCTCCTCCTCCTGTTCATCATGCCGCATGGATCTATTTTCTGTTTGTGCGGCTTTGTTGTCAGACTTTGTAAGCTGGTACCGCCTCTCTTCGTCTGTGTTTTGTTCATCACTAGAATTGAGACTCCCACCGGAGCTTCTCCTGCCGTGGCTGAAAACGTCATCTTCATGGTGTGAGCTAGCGGAGCCATCGTAGGGGTCGTCATGAATGTCTTCGTTGTATGAATTTTCCTGGTCGCCCTCATAGCTCATCTCGGTTCCCTCTCCATATGTTAAATTCGATCGTTCAGTATAACAGTTGTCCGATCCATCGACGCCGCTGTAGCTCAGGTCGTTAATGGCAGAGCCAGCATGTTTGTCATATGCATCTTGCTCGATGCTCGTAATAATTGCTCGTGCAGCGGCATGGATGACTGCTTCCGTATGCTCGTCCTGTTCGGTCTTCTCGTGGACTTCGTCATGGTGTATAACTGTCTGGTCGGAGAGGTTCCTCTTTGGGGATGCGTGCAGGTCTGTCGAATCAGTGAGACAGGAGCCATCGACATGGATTCCAAAGTCGTCGTAGGAAGGTGTAGGCTTTGCCATTGCTGATGGTTACAGCAAAATTGCTGGTGGAACAACCGTTGGAATACGAGTCTTTGAGGGTGTAGCAACCCCACTTGTAGATGGCAGATACAATATGGAGCTGGCGAGAAGATTTCAAGATATCGCAATCGTATATAATCGTGTATTCGTGCCAAAAGGAGAAAATGTTGTGATCAGAGATTCTATAAATGTGGCCTCTATATCGACGTAGATTGCATCCAGAGATGGGGGACATTTGTTGACATGCGACGGGATGGCACAGCAACCAAAATTGTCTGTGCACCGCATTGGACTGCCACCATGTTCTGGTTGGGTTCTCTATAGGTCCCCATTTCCAAAAAATGCCTATGAGCCTCTAAACAGAGATATCATTTTGAAGTTCGGAATTCGTGAATAATAAGCGTTTAACTGAGGAGATATGTTCACACAACTTCTATGACTACAATAAGGGGCATTTATTGCCTTATCTAAGCCTGTGCCTTGTGTCCTACGAGTGCTTTTCTACTCGTCATTTGCCATAAATGGTTGCGGTCTAGAAGTCCCGTCCACCAGGGGAATAGTAAATTTAAGATAAACTAAGGCAGGAGAGGCCCTATAAGCATCCAGAACAGATCACGTTCTTCCCAGGGGTTTTTGCGATATTTCTCTACAGTTTGTATTTCTGTTTCTGTCCTTGAAAATCATTCCTGGCTCCTAACCTACCCCTCACCTCATCAGTGCTCAGTTTCTGAGCCTCACATATTCAAGGTATGCAAAATTCCCCTGCTGTTCTTTTATAGTAGAGACGGTCGAACTTACACTTTGCGGTAATAGCTAACAAGCAACCCATACAGATGGGAGGAGACAATGGCGAACAGGTGCCCACACCTGAGAACATAACCATGATGCAAGCTTTCGAGTGGTACGTCCCCGACGACAAGAAGCACTGGAAGCGAATATAGTCCCGGTTGCCCCAGCTGAAGGCTTTTGGCATTGACAAGTTGTCAATGCCAAAAGCCTTCAGCACCTTGGATCCGGGCGGGGTCCAAGGCGTCCTCTCCGAGTGGAAATGGCTACGACATCTACGACCTGTATGCCTCGGCGAGTTCGATCAGAAGGGAGCCAAAAGCACAAAGTGGGGCACAAAAGAAGAGCTACTGTCCCTGACGGCTAAGCCAAGAAGTAGGGGCTGGTATTTATTGGGATGTGGTGCTTAACCATAAGGCAGCCGCCGATCATAAGGAAATGTGTCGCGCTGAGGAGGTTGATAACGCGGACCGCACCCAAAAGGTCTGAGAACCCTACGAAATTGACGCATGGGTTGGGTTCGATTTACCTGCCCGTGGCGAAAAGTATAGCGCCCAGAAGTATCATTGGTATCACTTTAGCGGAATTGATTATGACGCGAAAACGAAGAAGACGGCCATTTACAAGATTCTCGGCGACGACACTTGGGCGGAGAGCGTCGATGATGAGAAAGGAAACTATGACTACCTAATGTTCGCTGACCTCGACTACGACCACCCAGAAGTGAGACAAGGTGTGATAAACTGGGGGAAGTGGTTGAGCAAGGAAGTTGATATCTCCGGTATTCGCTTCGATGCTGTGAAGCACTTCAGTAAAGACTTTCTACTGGAGTTTAATATAAAGATGGACGAGGCTAGGGGGGATGGTTGGTTTTTTGTGGGGGAGTTCTGGAAGGGCGGCTTGGATGATATGAGTGAATATCTTACTATGTATGGGCACGAAATTCTCGCTGTTTCATGCGCCCCTCGTACACAATTTCTTGGAGATGAGCAAGACTCTAGAAGCCGATCTGAGAAAAGTGTTCGATGGATCATTGGTTCAAAAGGAGCCAATCAACGCTGTGGTAAGTACTCCCAATCACCACTATGACAAAACAAACAGCTACTTACTCGAGTAGACGCTTGTGATGAATCACGACACTCGACCTTATTAAGCCTTAGAAGCCGCCATCGAGCCAGTCTTAAGCCCTTGCGTACTCATCTTTCTTCGATACGACGGGTACACTTCCGTCTTCTGGGGCGATCTCTACGGCATGGACCCGGTTGGGGACAAGCAAAACATTTCCGCCGCCATCCTGCGGGGGGGCTCTATCGGCATAGGTTGGGTACGATATGGTACATTGGATAGGCGGTTCGGCTGCGCGACGGTCCTCAGCAATGCGGGGCCCGGTAAGAAGCGGATGCATGTTGGAGGATACATGCAGGCGATGTCTGTGCTTGGATGGTCAGACAGAAAAGTGGTCATTGAGGATGACGACTGTAGCAACTTTGTTTGCCCGGGTACCAGTGTTAGCGTCTGGGTCAACAAAGATGCCGAAGGACGAGACAGGTTCCGCGAGTTTGAAGAATGTCTATGAAAACCGAAGGAATCAAGGCACGAGGTATTCGGTACCGTACTTGTGCAATACTCAGCGATGAGGCTTCCCAAGGACAGGGGTGTGATGTTGGTCCCGGTTGTGCAAACCCGTTTAATAGGCCCGTAGTTGAGGAATGAGCGCTATTTTCAATCATCGGGCTTACCCTCCCTCGCACATCTCTCCTAGTCTCCGCCAGCTATAGCAGGGTTCATGGCTTGATATCTGAGACAAACAATCCTCCCAACTGTCATCATCCACTACTATCCACTATCACAGTCAAGCAGCGGCTAGAGTACTAGCTAGTCGCCCGTGAAGGTCACTGTCAATCATCGAAGACGCCTCGCTGATCGGATCCCAAGGAGCATAGGGAGTTTGTTCGGCAGTTACAGCATCATGACCATGGCGAACAAACGTCGCCTGGCCCACTAGGAGGGGGTGTCCATTTTGGGACGTGGCTGCATCCCTCATCTCATATAATGATCCTGGGGGGGCATAGCACATTATGCGCTGCATTATTTAAAAGGCCGTGGATTTGGTTGGAGGAGGCTGACCCCGCCAACATTCAGATGGATGGGATCTTCGGGACGATGAAGGTACAGATAGAAGTGTACAGTACTTCTTTCGGACCTCTCTGAGTATCCGAAGCCTCACCTTGTTGTGGTAGGAGTCGTGGCGCTGAGTTGAGGAAGTTTTAGTGGACCGGGTGTTTTCAAGACGTGGCCTCGAGACAATGTATTTAAGCTTGTCCCCGTAGTCCCCTGGCGCTTATGGGGGGGGAACTTGTCGTGCCCACTGATCCCCACTTGGAGCTCAGCGTTAGTTCTCCCCGCTCTGCCCCCGTCTATCCGCCCGCCGCCCACAACAAAGTAACCCTACCACACTGTGGCTTTCTAATATACCAATCTACCCCATTCTACCATGCACTGCACCAACACAGCTCCAGATAGCTGCTGACTTCACAATCGCTCTTGCTTGGGACAAGCGATTTATCCCAGCCTTTGCAGGCTTTCCTTCCACCTTCCGCCAGCTTCGACACGGACAGCCGCCGGATCTGTCGTGTCAGCATAACATGACCATAGAAACGTGCAACTGGAGATGAGATGCGACTCTGCCCCGCTCACGCTCAGCCCTGCAAGTTTATCCAGCTCTCCCTGGTTCCTGATGAAGAATGAGCTTGTGGTCGGCTGGCAGAGGCGCCGCTAAGATGTCGACCGTGGTGCTCCCAACCCCGAAGCAGATTCGATTCGTGAATAACGAGGGTCGCCCACCGGCGAAGAGGAGGAGGGTCGATGCCGCGTATGTTGCCTTCACTTGGTCTTGTTTATTCGCCTTCTTACATCGTACAACCCTCGACATCTTTCGTGCTTTGGAAAGGAACTGTGCTAATGTATATGTTACACGTAGATGCCAGACGTGTCGCAAGCGAAAGATACGATGCGACGGAAAGCGTCCGGAATGCTCGACGTGCAAAGAAAACCGGCATGTGTGCATGGGGTATGAGGCTCCATCGAACTCGGGTGCAGGAAAGAACTCGGATACCAAAAACTTTGCTGCCGACGACGCCGACGAGGACGACGAGGACAACATACACGAAGACATCAGGCCGAAGATTCCTTCCCCCACCTCCCGGCGAGCTGATACGAAGCTTCATAGAGTCCTCTCTGAGGAACATAGGATTTCCGAGGAATCGACTGGCTATGGCGACCAGTCACCAGGTGCCGCTGGTGACAATACAGCATACACTGACGATGGCCAAAGTTCCCAGACCCTGAATCGCCGAGTCCCATATTTCCGTTGGTTCGGCCCAACGGCCATCGTGCGGGGATTTAAACAGATGGTAGTGTCTGTTAGTCATCCTGGCCGTAAAATAGGTCCTACATCGCTGTCGTCTGGTTAGTACTTTGTCCATCATCAGGCTCGTATATACTAATCATAGTAGCATCACCACTATCAAACTCCTATAGCCCTGGAGGAGACCAAATTTTTTCAAATCCACGTCGCTCATCAATGTCGATTGGAGAGCCACGGAACGATCTTGGGCTGCCATTATATGATATTAGCAATTCAGAGCCAGTTCCATCATTGATAAAGCACCTCGTCAAGATCTTTTTCGTACATCTCGGATGCAACTTTCCATTTCTACGCAAAGATAAGGTGCTACGAATGATGGATGACAAGCACTTGGCGCCAATACTCGTTGATGCGATTTGCTCTCTATCTGCACGGTTCTCAGAAGACCCTCAACTAATTGGCTCTTTTGGCCCAAAACGCCTCAAGTCGGAATACGGCCAAGCATTTGCGCAGCGTGCTAAGGCCGTCGTCACAGACACCTTCCTATGCCCAACAGTGGAAGCTCTGCAAGCCTGTCTACTTCTCGCATACGAGGCTTTTGGAGACAACAAGGATAGCGCCTTGTGGATGTACACCGGATGTGCGATACGTATGGCATCTGACCTTGGACTAGAAAAACTAGATGGGATCCGCATCCAAGGTGGCCGACTGCCTAATTATTCTCCAATCCACAATGACTTCAATCAGCGCCAGTCTGATGGTCACCCAGGCGCAGATATCGAGCAAAAGGCATCAGAGCAGGAACGCATTGACACTCTTTGGGCCATTTTTACACTTGATAGGTTCATCTCGTCCGGATTAGGAAGACCAGCCACGATGCGGAGGGAAGACTTTGAGCTAGGCCTACCTGTCATTACGATGCTGCCGAAGAGCAACTGGCCCGCACCTCTACCAGCTCTAATCCAGATTATACACCTCTACGGTAGAGTATCAGATCTTTTGAATGGCATCAAAGGAACTGAGGACATGACAGAAGGGAAATTACAAGGCCTCGAAGACATATCGATGGAGGTGACGGCTTGGCAAGCATCACTGGGTAAAAAACTCGCGTTCAATTTGGGAAATTTTTCACATTATGACAAGGCCGGCGAAGGAACCAACTTTATCCTACTTCACTTCTGGTACCATACACTCATCATGGTTGTGTACTGCCCTCAGCTATGGAGCAGTGCAATCGCCCAACTACTACCCAATGACAACCGCAAGTTAAGTATGTCATCGGCTAAAACCATAGCGGACATCCTGGCATTCGCATTTACGAACGAGTCAAAGTGCTTCGTCGGGAACCCCTTTACGAGCCAGCCCATGTACTTTGCCGCTTCTGCATTCCTCATGGAAACGAACATCCAAAAGGCGTCATCGCCTACTTCTAGAGAAGGAACTCCACATAAGGATACGAAGGCCTCCAGCAAAGCATCTGTAAATGTTAATATAAAATGCGAACCTTCGCACCACAATACGAAACAGACCAAAGTGAAGGCTCAATCCAACCCTAGTCAGGATTACCTATGTTGTTATAAAGCCCTTCAGCAACTGGAAACATACTGGGCCGGAACAAAATACATATTGACTGCCCTTGACCAGAAAGCTATAGGCATTGCAGACCCAGAGGCCTTCACATCAGAGGAAATGGAAAGCACAAAGGTTCGTCCAGGTACCGTACACGATTGGAAACGAACTCTTCCGCCTCCGTTTGCACAACCGTCTCCTAGCATGAAATCTATGGCTCCGAAGATGTCCCCAAAGACCGAAGGATCTGCGTCGCCCACTGTGGATGGAGGGACAAATCAGCCTATCTGGTGGGCATTGACAGGAACGACGAACTCTCCCAACTCGAATGTAACTTTGATGTTTCCGCAGGCACCTGGCGACACTGCATCGCCAGCTCCGCCACCCGCAACAGGACAGACCCAACATAAGTTTTATGATCCTATTCGCCCAAGCGTCCCGGAATCCACGAGACCAACGAATATAACAGTTACGTATCCGCCATACAATATTGGCTATTCTCCGCAGCAGCCGCAGCAGCATATACCAATGCAGCAAAGCATGGTACCACCATCACAAAGGTATAACACGATCGACGATAGTCACAGGGACGCTGCAATGCTCATTGAGCTAAAGCAGTCGCCTAATCCCTATGGAAGAAGCATGGCTCCCAACCCCTACGACACAATGAGCAGCCAGCCTTCGACGGGGCCCTCGCAGCACTTGGCGCACGGGCTGTACGATGGCCCTGTGCGGTACGATTATGGGGCGGCCTTCGGCCCCATCACGGAGATGCCCTACCAGGGCTGGGGCGTAACTGGCTACTATGGTCTGGACATGGAGGGCGTTACACTGGGGTCGGGCGATATGACCTTCACGACGCGGGATGTCGATTTGAGCAATATGGATACCGATTTTTCGCAGATTCTGGAACATGTGCAGTATCTGCCAAACACAGACTTCAACGTGGGCGGTGATGTAGGGCACTATAGGGGTAACGGGGAGTAAGGGGAGTAATGGGAGTAATTGGGGGTAATGAGGAATAATGGGTAGGCGGGAGGCGCTCGAGGGAGAAAGGGGATGGGCTGGTCTGTGTAATCTGGGGGATAACCACCAATGCGTTTGTGTGTGGGTGAGGTGGGTGGACATCTGACTACGATTATGACTGATATGAAACACGGCTTCGCCGCAATATGTTTTTTATTTTCATTTCATATGTAGATACCCTTTTTCCATGTCGTACTCTCTCAATATTTAAACATTTTCTATGAAGAATATCATGCTCTTAGTTAATGTGTTGTTTCTCTTCAAAATGAGAACGGTTCGCGGGGTCCAGAGATCCGTTTTAGGTTTAGTGCCACGTTGAGGGGGACAGGAAGGAACGACGCATATCTGGGGACGTCGATTCTAGAACAGGGGCAAATTAAAGAGTAGTGATCTAAGGGCAATATAACTCGATTAAGTCTCAACTAAATATAAGATTCTATTATAATGCCACGTAGAGTTCAGGCTAAATAATCTCACGTTTTAATTTACAAGCAAGTATGTAAACAAGCCCCAAAAAGGTTAGCGTTATGTTGGCTAATTTCATATGTATTCATACTTTTTGCACCCTACTGTCGATGGGAGTCTCTTCCTCGTCCTGTGTATTTAGCTAATCCCCAAAGCGAAAAGGCGCCCCGATTACGTATAACAACCATCCAAAGAAAGCTAGCAGATCTCATACAATATACCTATATGTATCCAGGCCTCGTAGCAGCCCCCAAAATGAGCGGGCCATACCCCAGCACCCCAGCACCCCGCCCCCCCTACAGCGGCCACAGCCTTCAAGCCACCCCTCCACTGTCCGCATCTACTTCGCCGCAGTCCTCCACCAGCTCCATGGCGTGCCGAGCCCGAGACCGCGCGCATTGCCGCCGCCTGGAAGCTGGGACGCGGGTCGGAGCTCCTGTCGTACGACCAGTAGACGTTCCGCGACCTGTTCGGCAGCGAGGCGGGGATGTTGCTCTTCACCGACGAGCGGGACGAGGACCTAGCGGGGGCGAGGACAAGGGCTCGGCGTGGTGCGCCGATGGCGAGGAGGACCCATATGAGAACCACCGGCTGGGAAACCGGACTGTGGCTAATTCTCCTGTTGTAGTTGTGCTCATAGAGTTCTTGTTCTTGGCGACGGTCTATTTTGCTGTCATTGCCTTTCGAGATTACAATCCCGAGCATAGAATGGCTATTTCTAGACACCTATACACAACATCTTTGCTGTAATGGTACTTGTAAGGAGTGTAATTATTAAGCCTAGCCTGCCCGCTTTACCATTTCTAGCCAGACTGAAAAGAAATTGAAATAGAGAACATAGGATATTACAAATGCCAACGCAGCCATAAAAGAGTTGGTTGTCAGGATCCTAGAGCGCCCCCCCCCCCTTTTTTTGCATAGTCCCTGCATTTTCTTCCCCCTTCTATCCTAACTCCAAAAGACCCCCAAGAACATGTTTCCAAAAATTCCCTAAAACAAAAAACAAAAGAAACCCGCGAGGACAGACAAGGTCAAGCGTTGCTGACCCCCTCACTCTATATTCACCTCCTTCCTTCTTCCATCTCTCAACCCCCCAGGATCAATCAAGCAAAAGATCTTCAACAGGCGACAAAACAGCGCGCCAGCCCCTGTCCCTCTCATCCACCCCGCATCTCAGTCTAGCGCTTCCTCCTCATCCCCCCTCCTCTCCTATTCACCCCCCTCCTACTTCTCACAGCCCTCGGCGCCTCTCTCCTCCCTGCAGTCCTAACAGCTGATCTAGCCCCCGCTGCCTCCCTCGCCGCAGCCCTCTGCTGCTCCGCCGCCTCCAACGCAGCCTCTCTCTCAGCCTCCCTAGCCGCCGCCCTGGCCTCCCTCTCCGCCTTTTCAGCAGCCCGCTTTTCCGCACTCGCTCTCCACACACAACTCTTACAGTTTTGTGTAATCAAATGCCTTGGGTGCGTGGGACAGAGGAGACAGATCGTTTGGTGGGTGGTACAGTAGGTGAGGCCCCGGGTGGTGGGGTAGGGGGTGATGGTACAGCTTCTTCCGCTGCTGCTGTTGGGGTGGGAGGAGCCGGGGCAGACTTGTTTGTTAGAACCAGTGGGGAGTTTGGGTTTGTGCCCCTTTTCGGGGGGCGGTGGAGGGGTGGGCATGGTGCTTGGTTTGTTGTGTGTGTTGTGGTGATTTTGGGTGTGCTGCTGTGGTGGTGATTGGGATTGTTTTGGTGTGATTTTGAGTGCGCTGTAGCAATTGGGATCAGGATTGTGAGGCTTGATAGTTCTGGAGTAGAAAAGAAAAAGAAGATGGGAATCGAGAGGAATTTATACTCCCCCCCGAACACTACCATGGACCGCTCAGGAGCTCTAGCCCCTGAAGCCGTCGCAGTGCGAGAGACATTCGTGAACAGTTCCCTGTAACCCCCCAAGTCTGCGACATGAACAGTTTCCATGTTCTCGAAAACCATTGTTGGTTTTGGTGAAGTAAGTCGCACCATGAGCTTGCTTCGGCGAGTAGTGGCGCGTCGGAGGTGATGGGGGGGATGAGACGCCTTTATTGTCCAAAACATCTTTGTTCCCCCTCCACCTCCGTGGCGACCTCGATTGGGAACTTGGTCGGGGCGACAAATATACTTCTTTGATGACCGTGGGGAGAGAGGAATTGATGGTAGTTGTTTGCTTCAAGGACGAGGGGTGCTATCTGCATAGTGTTCGTTTCTCAGCCGCGGGGCGCCGTCTGCGTTGTACTTGTCGCGGTTATCTTCCGCTTTCAGGTTCTCAGTGTTAAATTTGTAGTCCGAGGCTGTGCAGGTAATACTGTTCGCAGTCTGAGACTCGATATCGAAGTTGAAAGAATTCCGTAGCTGTGGGTGTTAGAACGTCCATTGAGTCGAGGATTGAACCGGGTCTCTATCGACAAAGGCACTGTGGCTGGGCGTCGTGTCTGAGACTCGATTTCGATTCTAGAATAATTCATAAGGCTATTCACCCCCTCACTGCCTCCAGGCCAGCCCGAGGCTCTATCAACAAAGGCAGGCGTAGTGGCTACAGCGCTGTCCTAGACTCCATCAAATCCAAAAGAACCACCATATAAACACCACAGCCACAACCCCCCGATACACCCCAGAACCGACGGCGAAGTCCATAGAAATACAAGTTCACATACCACCGAAGAAAGGTTAAACATAAGGGTGGAAACATATACACCCGCACGCTACTCTGCCGCTGCTAGTCTTCTCATTACAAAAATCGTATCCTGTTCTTCCCATCTCTCATCCATTCAGCCAGCCTGCCAGCCAGTCGATCCTATCCCCCCCAAAATACTCCCCGCAAAATGCCTATCCAACGCCCTCGCTATCTATCTATATACAGCCATTAAATCACCCTCTCTCCCTCTCACCTCATCAACCCCCCCTTCAAAAAAAAAAACTCAAATTACCTAGCACCCCTCCTCCCCCGGTAATAATCATAATCCCCCCTCCCATCCGCCGCATCCGCATCCTCCTGCGGCAACCCGCCATACCCCTGCGGCCCTCCCCCCAAGAACCCCGGCGGGACAGCCACGCTCACAGGCACACTATCCGGCATCCCCGCCGCGGCCCTGACCAGACTCTCTCTCGTCTGACTCCCGCTTCCCCGTCTGCGATCATTGTTGCGGAAAGCTGGGTGGATGGGCGCGCTATACGGACTTTCGTGTCCTCCTGATGAGAACGGCGGCGGCGGGCTCGAAGTATTATACCTTGAATCCCCCCCCAGAGGGGTCGGGCTATACTGACTCGGCACCCCCGGCACCGGCGGCGCCGGACTCCCCGCCCTCGAACTCCCCGGCGACGACGCAGTATAGCGATACGTATCCGCAGTCCCCAGGCGGTCATACGGATTCGGGGTCCTCGTAAAGATATCCCCTGCGCCATGGTCATCCCCGAACTCAGCACGATTCTTGTAGAACGAGAAGTCGAGCTGGGATTCGGGGACGACTTCGAAGCCGGGGATGATGTTTTGTTGCAACTTGCCGGGCGGACCCCCAGCGTCACCATGGGGGGATTTCATGGTAGACAGGGTGAAGGTGTCGCTGTAGCCGCTGACGGAGGCGATGTCGTGGGCGTCGGGGTTGTTGGAGTTGGAGAGGCGGCCGCTGTAGATGGATGCTAGGATGCTCTGGGCGCGCGCGTGCACCATCGGGGTTGTGAGGGGTTTGTACAGAGCCGGGTGACCGAAGCGGGAGGCGAGGCGGTCGGTCTTGCGCGAGTTCTTGAGCGGGGCGGCGGCGGTGTCGTCGCCGTGGCGGCCGACGGCGCGGAGGGAGTAGTAGTGCGTCTTCTTGTCGAAGGTGCGCGCGCAGTAGATCTTGAAGGCGATCATGAGGAAGGGGAGGGGGACGACGGCGAAGGCTTGGATGTGTGTGTGGTCGCCTTGGACCCAGACGGCGAGGAAGACGACGAGGTTGGCGAGGATGGAGGCGAAGACCATGCGGTTGAAGAGGACGCGCCAGAACATGCCGCCGGATTCGGTTTTGGTCACGAAGATGTAGAGGAGGAGGTATTTCTTCAGGTAGACGTCGATTGTGAAGTAGAGGGCTGCGGCTGGGAGTACCAGGGGCTGGATCGTCGCAAAGGTGAGAGTCACGGTTGAGTAGAAGAGGAAGTAGTTGTAGTAGGCAGCATAGTCAAAGGCCGGTGGTGCAGTAAGCTCGATGAGCTCGCGTGGAGTGGGGCTGGAGAACTTGCGCACGCATGAGCTCCAGAACAGCGTCCAGAGCTGGGCGAGGTCGATGGCGGCACCGAGGTTGCGCTGTAGCAGCCAGGTCACCCAAAAGGGCGAGATGATGCAGAGCGAGGTGAAGAGGACGCGCGCAATGTCCTCCTCCTGGATGACCTTCCACGCGTCCTGGCCTTTACCCGTCTTCTCAACCACCGCGCTGACGAATGTCCAGACCGTGCTGAACCCCGAGAAGATGATGAGGTTGTTGAACACGAAGAACGTGTACAGCTTTCCCGTGACGTTGCGCTCGCGGGCGGACTTGGTGCGGTCGCCCGCGCGCATCGATAGCCGGCGGAAGATGATGGGTAGGATGAGGTAGATGAGCGAGGTCACGGCTGGGGAAGCTACACCCTGCACGATGGACCAGATGGTCGTGTTTGCCGCCAGGGAGGCTTGGAAATTCTTCCACACGCGGCCCAGGTTCGCCAAGTTGACGAGGAAGATGGATATCATGGCGTTGGGCCCGATCCACAGGAGAGTCAAGAGGGTAACCCACAAGTTGTTGACAATACGTCTCCAGCGCCTCGTCTTCTGATCTAGGTGCATGTTCTGCCAAATAATGTCATCAGGGCGGGGCGCAAGCACAATCGTCGTGCCATGGGGGTGCTTCTTGCGAGCCGCATACGCAATGGTGTGCGCCTCTCCGATGTCCTCGTAACTGGCAAAACCGTAAGGCATAGCGTTCCTCTTATCAACCCTCAGCCTCACGTCCTTGATCTCCATCTCCAGGTCGCGGATGCGGCCCGTGAGATACTCAATCGCATCGACCTTCTGCCCCTTTGCATACGAGCCGTACGATGGGTCCTTCTTCGAGGGCGCGCACGTCGGCCGCACGGGAGGCAGCTGATCCGGGTTCTTCAGGTACTTGGCGAGATGCTTCTCGAGCTTGCGAACGGTGCCCTCATGCTGCGCGATCAGGTCGGGCAGATCCTTGACGTTGCGGGCAATAGCCGTGCGCGAGAACGACGACGTCGGCACCACCTCGTCAATAAGTCGGCCAATACCCTCGTCCGTGCAATACGGCTTCGGGATATCGTTGATCATCAGCGTTCGCGCGTGCAAACTAGCTAGGTACTGCGGGCTATCATAGTACTGTCTGCGCAGCTGCACGATCTTGCGGTAGTTGAACCACAGGAAGCCTGATACCACTATGTTGAAGAGGTAGGCGCACACAACCTGTGCCCAGGTGGGCGAGCCAGACGTGCTGAGCGGGGTCAGCTTCTCGAAGAAGGATGTGCCAGTGCCTTTGCGCAGGTTGATTGGGATGAGGATCGCACAACCGATGACAGAGATGCTGAGGAAGATGTTGCGGCACATGCGGGTGAAGCGCAGGAAGACAGCAGCGTCGAGGCCCATGTGTTTGATCAGGTCCTGCTCTTGTGTCTTTATCACCGGCCCCAGCCATGCCAGAATGCCCTTTCCCATCGGCGGGGGTGCATGCGCTTCATCCGCATGTTTAAGCTTCGGGGCGTAGACGACGGAGTTATAGGGTCGCAGGAGGGAGAAGGCGACGGCGATGAGGACTGTGAAGCCGATGGAGGTGCCAAAGGACGCCCATATCGAGTTTTGTTGGAACTGTGCCCGCGGTTAGCAGCTGGGCTATAAAAAATAGGGTCCATGTCTTGGGGCTTCCTTACATTAGAGCTGAACGGCATTTTCAAGAGCAAGAGCAGTTCGTCCGAGCCCTCTGACCGCCGCAGAAGCTCCTCAAACGCCATGCTCATGGTAACGAGTGTATGTGTGGCCAGAGGCCTTGCCTGAGGGTCGTGGTTCGAGTCCTAGATATATCGGAGATTGCTGACTTGCCCGGAAGCAAAAGTTGTAAGCTGACGCTTTCTTCCTCTACTCTCTTCCTTCCTGCAGCGGGCGAAGTCGAGATGTGTTCGTGAATAATGGCAATGCAGGTGAATGGCGTAGCGCGTCAAGGGAAAGAAAAGTCGATTCGATCGTACAGTACAATTTTCGTAGGACGTCGGGTGATGCGGGTGGCGGCAACACCAGCGCGTATCTGAAGGCTCACTACTCTGATTGGATTCATGCACTATCGAGGGGGACGGATGGATATATTAAGAAGCTAGAGGAAGCGACAGTGAGGGTTGAGGAGGAGGAAGATGAGGAAGAGGAGAAAGATATGTAGAGGTCGGAGTGGTATAAAAATACAAATGGAGGAGAGGACAGGATTTCCCCTCTGGGAAGATGGGGGCTGGGGGGACGCACAAAAGGTACCACTCACAAACCAAACCCACAACACAAAGGTACCACAGCAGCCTGCCATAGCAGTAGAGGTACATTTGTATCCCCATCCCCATCCCATCCACCCATATAAACTTTTTTACGCAGCGGGCAGTTTTAGGTTGTGGGATGGTACCTAGGATAGGCATGATAGGGTGGTCCAGTGCGAGGTACTGTCCCCGATCGCCATTGGCGAGAATCTATTGTTAGAAAGAACGGCGGCCAGTCTTCTAGAATCGGCGGCGCCGTGGTCGGTGGTCCACAGTACAGTTGAGTCGCGCCAAGTCGATTAATTGTCCGTAGGCAGCTAAAATATATAGATTTCCATATAGCATTAGTACAAACTGTAACAGTAATGCGTGCCTTGTCTTTCTTTAATCCAGGCCTTCTAACCCCTTAACGGTGTCATCCTCTAGTAAAGCCCTGTTTCATCTATGTTATATATATCTTCCTCTTTGAAATCTCCTACTAGCGTTTGAATTGCCTTCGTCTCGTCTTCTGCTCTTGTAAGAACTCAACCTGCTTCGCCATGTCTAATGTGGTTTTTGATCTAATGCTGTTCAACCTATACTAAACAGTGTTGCCCGAGTAGTACTCGCCGTGAGTAGTACTCGGTGAGTCCCCGAGTACTACTGTACTCGGGTGATATTTTTGAGTACTCGGGGACTTGCCGAGTACTACTCTGAATACTCTGAATACTGCCAAGCCCTTGGCAATGAGGGGTAACTGGGCGTAGAATAGAATAGATAATTGAAGCTTTCTTCCACTTGAGCGTTCCGTATTACTTCCTGACTGTGAAAATGAGTGGCTCTTCTCTGTCGCCAGTGCCGGCTGAGTATCAGTCTGATGCTTTAGAGCTGCCGCCCCTTATTCCGATGCCGCATATGCCTCTAAGAGTTCAATTACCTGATTCTATATCAATCCTCTTTTCGAAAGGGCCATTCTACCGTACTTTATTAGATACAATACCTGCTAGAATCCAATACCAATGCCTTCAAACTGATTGTAGCTATATGCCGAGCCAGCTACTAAAGAGCCAGACGACGAGTAATCTTTGGAAGCATCTTAAGAAGATGCACCCATCTGTGCATGCAGAATACCAGAAGCTATCCTCCTCAATTAGAAGCTCGTTAACGCCGTCTGCTTCTGCTTCTGCTTCTGCTTTTTTCCAGCCCCGCTAAGCACCCAGTAACGCACCCAGTAACGCTCGTAGAAATATAGAGAGCTTGTACTCCCTTTTGTGGTATCAAATAACCTACCGCTACGCCTTGTGGAAAGCCACTCATTCTGGCAATTAGTTCATCATCTAAACCCTACGGTTTTGACAGTTAGTAGAACTACGATCGAACGGGATCTATATCGTCTATTCTGCTATCATAAAGCACGGCTTCAAGTAGAATTACAACAACATATTATAAGCGGTGGACGACTTGCAATAACGACAGATACTTGGTCCGCTCGAAACTATTCTGAGTACGCAGCAGTTACAGTACACTGGATAAATGATAATTGGCAAATGAGAAATACTATACTTGACGTTATTCACCTTTAGGTGCCAATCCACTCTGGCGAATACCTTGTCGAACAGATGATACATGTAACGGACGATTATAGTATTACACCTGCGATCTTTACAGTTACAAGAGATAATGCGTCTACGAATACAACTATGCTATTAGAATATGAGAAACTGGCATTGGCGCAACCTATTACCCTGAAACAACCATGGGATTTTACAGCGAAAGCAGGAGACGTACGCTGTATTGGGCATATTATCAACATTGCTATTCAAGCTACTTTAGCTTCCTTAAAGGCAACGCCTGACGAAAGGGTAGAGGCATACCGGCTTGAGGTTGGGGCTGCGCGAATACCAACTACTATTGAAAACGAAATCGTTACTGTTCTTGCCAAGCTCCGGCGTCATATATATGTATTTCGGAACCGCCGTGGATGGAAAGGTGCCTTGAAGAATCAGTGTAAAGCTGCAGGTATTAAAGTCCGTCAGTTGACACTTGATATGCCAGTCCGCTGGAGCTCAACTTATCAAATGATCGATATGGCTTTAAAGCTTCAGGTTCCGATTACAGCTTTTTGCGCATCACAGCAACTTGATATTAGTATGAGGGATATCGCTTTAACAGCAATAGATTGGGCTACCTTACATGATTTATTAAAGCTATTCTATATCTTTATCCGCCCAACTGAGAAGCTACAGGGCTCTTCTTATCCAACTCTTAACTATGCTGTTCCGCAGTATATGAGAATGATCAAGAAGCTTGAAGATATGAGAAGTGAGCTACCAGAACGAAGCCCGATTGCTAATGCTACTTCAATTACATTAAAGAAGCTTAATGATTACTATACTCTAGCTACGAATCAGCAACAGAGTCACTCTACGATTACTACAATTTGTGATCCTCGGTATAATTTCAACGTTTTCAATATCATATGGAAAGACAGTACACAATCGATCAAAAAGAACAGGGCAAAGGCACAGTGGCAGGACTGCTTCTACCGATATTCAGGCCGCGAGTCTGATATTCGAGCAGCAAACGTTATTAATAGTATCGAAGATGAGGATCTAGATCCAGAGCAGCAAGCTATGAGTATCGATATAGACTCAGAAGACGAGCTATACGTATCGCAAAGCCATCACGATACTGAGCCAGAATGGAAGCGATGGATGAAGGAGCCGACGGTTGGTAGGAACACAGATATTCTCAAATATTGGCAGAGTAAGCAATTCCAATATCCGTTGATTGCTTCTATAGCAAAGGACCACCTAGCTATTCCAGCTACCTCAGCGGACTCGGAACGAGTATTTAGTGTTGGTAGTGATATTATCACAAAGAAACGGAACAGATTATCACCGTCTACACTTTGATATCTACTTTGCTTACGGAATTGGGGTATTATATCACAAGGCAACGACGAGGACAGCGGCGACGATGCAGATAATGAGAGTTAGAATAGTAAATACAGTCAAATTCTATTTTATATGCGAGTACTACTCACGGTATTCGAGTACCGGTATTCGAATACCGGTACTCGAGCTTCAATTTTGAGTACTCTACTCGAGGATGCTCGAGTAGTACTCAGAGCGGTATTCGGGCAACACTGTGGGCGGATATGAGACGCTCATCTCGGAGGGGCTGGATGGAGTAAAGTTGTCGGATCTACTGCTTACTGTGTGTTTAGAGTGTTATGATGGAACGTGTCAATCGGGGAGTATAAACAGACAAGCAAAAAATAGAAGTTATTAACAATCCCAGGGACTCCTAGAGTGGAGGGACAATGGAAACTCCCCCAATCCCCCCAATCCCCCCAACCCCCCCCATCCTTTCTCCCTTCCCATCTTCCCACGCCACCAACTCACTCACTCCTCCCCTTAGCCCTCGTACTCCTCCTCGTCCCCTCCACCGTCTCCTTCCCCCCCTTTCCCCCACTACCCCCATTCGCCTCCCCCTTCGCTGGATTCCCCCTCCCCCTCTTCTCCCCCTCCCCATGCTCCTTCTCCGCCTTCCTCTTCCGATCCGCCTCACCACCTAGCGTCCCATCTTCCCCCTTCCCCCCAGCAGCAGCAGCAGCAGGGACAGCCGTCGAAGTCGCAGCCGCATCCTGCTCCCTCGCCGCGCGCACCGGCGCCTCGCCCGCTGCCTCAGCCGCTACTGTGGCAGCTGGTCCCGTCTCGGCCAACTTCTCCGCCTCGCCCGTCTCCGCCTCAGCAGCTGGTCCGCCCTCCGCCTTCTTCGAACCCGCAGTCTTCTCCGGCGTCCCCATCTTAGAAGGCTCCGGTTCCTTCGTCCCCTCCCCTTCGTCCTCCTTCCCAGCAGCAGCTTCCTCCCCTACAACACCTCCAGCATCCCCATTAACCGCACCGATCTCCTTCTCCCCCCCCTCTTCCTCATCCTCCACCTCCTCCTCGATAGCATCAACCTTCCCCTCCGGCTCCAGCAACCCAATCTCCCTCCCCTCCTCGACCTCCTCGACGACGCCGCCGCTGGGGACCCCGAGGTGGCCTTCCCGCTTCTCGACGTAGCCTTCTTCTTCGCCGAGGGGGCCGGCAAGGACTTCGTGCCGCTCGACGAAGCGGTCACCGTCTGTGGCGTAGGTGGTGGTTTCGGAGCGGACTTGGGTTACGACGCCGGGGGCTGAGGCGAGGTGGGTGGCGGCCCATTGGACGTTGTCTGGGGGGGTTGTTAGTTGTGGGGTTGGGGGTTTGATGGGATGGCCCGGGGGGGGGGTTTGTGATGGGGGCGTGCAGATCTGGGGGAGGAGAGGGGGGGGGAGGTGTGAGCAAGGTGAGAATGCAGCGGGTAATGGCATAAAGCCCATCACGCACTTCTCCTCTCCACCGGCGCGCTCACACGACCAACCTCCCGATTGAGCCTCGAGAACGACCAATTGGCACCTCCCCAGCACCCAATCCATGCGCTTCAAACGCCACGACCGAGTATAAAACGGAGAATATCACAAAGAAAGAATAGAAAACTCACTCTCAGTCCCATTGCTGACCTGCTGCTGCTGATTCGATTCAGACATCTTGATAGATATGACGTAATACAGTCCCTTATAACCTCCAGTGATTCTCAACAAAGCAATTGATAATTCGCCTTAAAACGGTAGAGCTTTCTCGTTTGAACTGCTCTGGTTTTGGAGATGTGCAAGGTTGTTCAATTGACCGTGTGTGTGTGTGGTCCGTTTGTGATGGGATATGTAGAGAGAAGAGAGAGTGGTGGGGTTGGGGATGGATGGGTGTGTGTGCGATTGTGAGAACAGAGGGTGCGAGTGCGGGGTGTGACGTCAGGGTCTGACACGCTGGTTGTAGTTGCCCAGAACCAATAGGTGGGCGTGTGGTCCGATTGCCGTGCCAGACACGATCACGGCGATTCCTGATGCGGAAGGGGATCAGCCTCCCCCCATTCCAACAGCGCCTTGTCTTTTTTAGCCACAAGCGCCTCTATAGCATGAACTATTAAGTGATAGTTATGCTAGACGGTATTATGTTGTCTGTAAAAGGGCCTTGGCTAGGTCCTGTTAACAACTAGATGTAACGCTGACTTCTAAACGATAGAAGGCACAGAGGTTCTCTTGCGTAAAGGTTTACTTATCAGAGGAGGCAGGGGATCAGACACAAAGGCTTCAATTAACACGTTACTAGTATATAACAAATACTGTATTGAGTTGAGCACGAAGCTCCTATCTAAGGAAATACTATCTACTTATATAGTGGCGTCGTGCCTAGTGGACTCCTGGGAACTCACTCGAGTCCTCAGAGTCCTGGACTCTTAGGATTCTTCTCATCATCCTGCGAGTCCGTCACGTGCCTAGTGGACTCCTGGGAACTCACTCGAGTCCTCGGAGTCCTGGACTCTTAGGACTCTTCTCATCATCCTGCGAGTCCGTCACGTGATACTTTCGGAACTACTATTCCCCGATGCCCCTCCAGGTACCAGGGCCGGTCTCATGCGACCTCCCTCCTTCCTGTCCTGTAGTTGGCCAGCCTTCTTGTTCCGTCGTAACACTAGACTATATGGTGCCACTGTTCTATAGAGTAGTGTTTACAAGAGGTATGTCCCCCTGTTAACCCCCTTATTCGAGTTTACTAACTATCTACTCTCTATCTAGGTTATAGAAGGTCATGAGACCGTGCTTTGAGTCTATGGCGACCCTGTGTATAGGGCTGCCTTTAGAACAGTTTGTCTATAGACGCATCCATAAGCGACACTTCCTTAGCATTAAGGAAAGAGCCTAGTTTCATACTGACATTCAGTTTGCTATCAAACTCAAGAGCAAACTTAGAAATCTCCTCCTCAAACCTACAAGTCACTATACATATTTTGGCTTGTCACACCAACAACAAGAGCAATACTACTCAACGATTGCTACAACCCTCTATGATTCATTACACGTCTCCTTAGTTACTGGGCTGATATGACCACATAGCATATCTCTACAACCCTCTATGATTCATTACATGACATCACTCCTTAGTTACTGGGCTAATACTACACATGACATATCTCTATTAACTAGAGGCCTAGGAACATGAACGATAGCTCCAAAAGCTTCAACCGTCTATGATTCATTACACATCATCGCTCCTTAGTTACCTACAAGATTGGTTAAGTTATGACATAATCTGTCTATAGGGGTACTCTGACCTTGGACCTCCTTTCACTTCCTATAGGCTAGGAACCTAGGAGATGGTTCTATGGGATTCTCTTATGTCGACTACAGTTACCAAGCCTGGTTAGTCATGGAAAGTCTTGGAAAATGAGAGAACTACACTCCTTTAGCATAAATAGGATTGCCCTTTTGTTACGACGGAACAAGAAGGCTGGCCAACTACAGGACAGGAAGGAGGGAGGTCGCATGAGACCGGCCCTGGTACCTGGAGGGGCAGCGGGGAATAGTAGTTCCGAAAGTATCACGTGACGGACTCGCAGGATGATGAGAAGAGTCCTAAGAGTCCAGGACTCCGAGGACTCGAGTGAGTTCCCAGGAGTCCACTAGGCACGTGATGGACTCGCAGGATGATGAGAAGAGTCCTAAGAGTCCAGGACTCCGAGGACTCAAGTGAGTTCCCAAGAGTCCACTAGGCACGACGCCACTATATAAGTAGATAGTATTTCCTTAGATAGGAGCTTCGTGCTCAACTCAATACAGTATTTGTTATATACTAGTAACGTGTTACTTGAAGCCTTTGTGTCTGATCCCCTGCCTCCTCTGATAAGTAAACCTTTACGCAAGAGAACCTCTGTGTCTTCTATCGTTTAGAAGTCAGCGTTACACCTTTCCTTAAGAAAGGGCAAGCAGACAATACAGTAAATCGACTATCACATACTTCCACGTCTTTTCCAAGCTTCCAAGCATTGATCTTGTTACTCCTTGTTTCTGAAAAGTCAGTGAGGTGCTAACTGTCATACTGACATTCGTTGCACTCAGTTTGCTATCAAACTCAAGAGCAAACTTAGAAATCTCCTCCTCAAACCTACAAGTCACCATACATATCTTGGCTTATCACACCAACAACAGAAGCAATACTACTCAACGATTGCTGCAAACTCTTCTACTACATCTGTTTATGCTACATACATCACGGCATATCATTTGGACACTCATTGAACAAGTTATTAAGAAAATCTCCTCCTTAAGGGGGTGGGTCAATACTACCACATGGCATATCTCTACCAACTAGAGGCCTAGGAACATGAACGATAGCTCTAGAAGCTTCTACAACCCTCTATGATTCATTACACGTCATCGCTCCTTAGTTACCCACAAGATTGGTTAAGTTATGACATAATTTGTCTATAGGTACTCTGACCTTGGACCTCCTTTTCACTTCCTATAGGCTAGGAACCCAAGAGATGGTTCTATGGGATTCTCTTACGTTCACTACATGATTAGCAAGCTAGTTGTGGGTCGCACTTGATTTCTAATACATTTACCAAGCCTGGTTAGTCATGGAAAGTCATGGAAAATGAGAGAACTACACTCCTTTGGCATAAATAGGATTGCCCTTTCCTTAAGAAAGGGCAAGCAGGCAATACAGTAAATCGACTAGCACATACTTCTACGTCTTTTCCAAGCTTCCAAGCATTGATCTTGTTATTCTCTGTTTTTGAAAAGTCAGTGAGGTGCTAACCTCTGGCTTACCCCTGAGTTCTCAGATTCAACATTTGTTGCAACTTGTCTAAACCACTTCACTACATCATACACCTGATTGCTGCATTGTGGAATAGTCTAAGCTACAACCCTTTGGCTCTGTTTCCTAAGACAGTGTGTTGTCTTAGTAAATTCATCCCTTCCTTGGGTGGCTAGATTCTCATATCTGGTGCACCCAACATTACACGACAGTGCCTTTCAAGTTCAAACGATGGCACTGAACATGGATATCTTGACGAGGGCCCTGATTGTGGCCCTCAAATCTCCGACTGGAGGAAAGACTTCAGTGGAAGTTACTGAGAAAACTGGCCTGTCAACCTGACAGGTCAACCGCATATATACTCGCGCAATTGAGCGTGGGTTTGACCCCAACCATATGCCACTCACCTTACGAGATGAGTGGTTACAGGACGCTCCCCAGTCTGGCCGCCCGACAAAATAAACAGCTGAAGCAACAGAGGGAGTTGTCGCAAAGGTGCGAACCGACCGTTACGGAAGGGAAAAAACTTGGTTGCTGATATCGCGGGGGAACTTAGCTTGCAAGGTATCGACATCTCCTCCACGACAATATGGAGGGTTTAAAGGACTGCTGGCTTCTGGAAAACAAAACCGACGAGGAAGCCTGGGTTGACGAAGAAGATGAGGGTGGAGAGATTAAAATGGTGCCTCGACCATCAGCACTGGACACTCGAGGATTGGAAAAATGTAATATGGTCAGACGAGACATCTGTGGTACTAAACCATAGATGGGGAGGTTATTGGATATGGAGAAAGGCAAACGAGGCATTTTTACGGAGTTGCATTAGGGAACGGTGGAAAGGATACTCAGAATTTATGTTTTGGGGATGTTTTACTTACGACAAGAAAGGGCCATGTCATTCTTGGATCCCAGAGACATGGAATGGATAAAGAGTTGGAACCAATTTTACGTGAAGAATGGGAATTATCAAATGAGATATGCCAAATGTCTCTACGCAATATTCCTGGTATAAAGCCGCTATGGAGATGGAATAAAAAGAATGGGAAGTTAAGCCGTGAGAAAGGAGGAGGGGGGATAGATTGGTACCGGTTTGCACAAGAGTGTAAGAAGGAAAGGCCAAATACTATTGTACAAGAAGATAAAGCACCATCTCATGCGTCAAAGTGGCAAAAGGCTGTCTTTGATAGGTTTGATATTCAATGGCTATTATGGCCAGGTAATTCGCCTGACCTTAATATGATTGAGCCTTGTTGGCCATTTATGAAGCGGGTTACTACTCATAAAGGGCCTCCTACAACTCGAAAGACTGCAGAAATCGTGTGGAAAAAGGCATGGGAGGAGCTTGAACAATGGAGAATAAAGGCGTGGATTGAGAGGATTCCACGCCATATTCAAGAGGTTATTAGACTCGAAGGAGGAAATGGATATAAGGAAGGGGTTAGTGATATATCTACACATGGCAAGGCACATAGGAACTATTAACTATTATAATTGATTCTCATTTTATGAAGCTACAGGTGCAAGTATCGTGAGTGCTCATTTTGACAGGGGTAGGCTATACCCCTGCCCGGCAAAGACTTTTGGTACACGCCTCCGTAGCTTAGTAATAGAGTAAATCCAACGTCGTTAAAGTAAAGCGTGCCTACGATCGTGAGAAAAGTGACAATTTGATGCACTATACTATACGATGCCCCCAAAACTGACGATTACTGGTATTCCAGCCAGCTTCCAGTCCTTTTGGAATTCGGATTCAAATTTAAATAGGGGCAATAGCCCCCTTATTCGAGCAACCCCTCCAGTTGACGTCTTTTCCCTTGACGATGATAGCAATATTTACGACGGCGACGACTACAGCTTACCTACCCCTACCTCTACCAACAGAGATTCAAATATTCAAGGAAGACCGAAGAAGCGGCAAAGGCAAGGGGAAGAGGAGGATACAATACAAGGAAAGGGTCAGATCTTGAGTCCAGAAGACTATATGGAGGAAGCGTTCAAAAGTTTTGTCCCATGCTAGGAAACACCACAGTTCACAATTTAGTTATGTACATAGTTATGAAATCAGTGTTCTTCTTGCCCCTCCTTGTACTCATTTCCGCCTTCTAGCTCGATGACTTTCTGGATATGTTGAGGAATCCTCTCGACCCAGGCTTGGATTTGCGACTGAGGGAGATCTTCCCAACAGGTCTCCCAAGCTCGTATCATGTCTGGTCGACTTTTTGATGCCCCCTTCCTTGTAGTCCTCCTTTTCATCCATGGCCAACACGGCTCGATGACATTTAAATCTGGAGAGTTGGCACACCAGAAGAGGCGATTAATGTCATGTAATTGAAATACTCGCTGCTGAATGTAATGATTGTGTGATGGAGCGTTGTCTTCTTGTACAATAGTATCCGGACGGTCTACCATGCATTCCCTTGCGAATGGGAACATCTTTGGTATCAGAATCTTTCAATTCCTCCTTTTCCTTTCTCACAGGTCATTGCTCCTGTCTTTTTTGTAAACTTCCACTCTGGCTTCCTTCCTCTATAGTTCCGTAATCCAAGGCGACGTATTCCATTTTCAAATTCCCATTCCTCTTTGCATTGTGCTTCAATTGTTGCTTCTCTCTTCTCCTTTGCTGTCTCCTTTTTCCAAATGTGATATGGCCCCTTTTTATCGTATGTAAAACAGCTCCACCACATGAATTCCGATGCTCCATGCCATCGAGAGCGAATAACAGATGGCTCGAATCTCTCATCTTTTGTCCTCCATACTTTAAATCCTCCACGTCGATGGCCAAGGACAATAGATGTTTCGTCTGTCCATATAACGTTTTTCCAATCCGTAAGAGTCCAATGTGCATATCGTAGAGCGAATTGTAGTCGTGCTTCTCTCATCGCTTTAGTTAATCCTGGTTTCCACTTTCGTTTTATCAGTTTATGCCGTTGTAGTACTCGAAAAGCAGTCATTGTAGACACAACATTTTCATAACCAATTGTTGCTGCTGTCTTCTCTCGAGAGTTCCGGTCCATTTTTATACTCTTTATAAGAGTCTCTTCGCCATTTGCACTTAGTTTCCGAGGGCGTCCTGTTCGAGGGGCATCAATAAGATATTTATCAAGTAATTGCTTGTCAATATCTGGATTATATCCACGGCGGCGTGCTTCAGCCATGTAGTATCGCACTTGCCGCTCGGAAATTTTTGTATTCTCTTTAATTTGCTGATATATAGCTCCATAAGCTCAGAGTCTTATAGCTTGAGCTCGCGTTGCAAGAGAGTAGGAAGGCATATTTAATATCTGTATTATCTTCTACTCTACAAAATACGAATTGACGATGCCTATTTACTGACTTTACCCCTATTTTTAGCCCCAAACGCTACATTCCTTGGCACTGTTAGCCCGGCAAGGACTTTTGGTACACGCCTCCGTATATACTAACTACGGAGGTGTTGTTCATAAGTTTTGTGAGTGGGTCGGGCTAGGGCCCCCTGCGTAGGCTGGTTTGGCAATTCTGGCCAAAGTACCGATTCTCACGCGTCACGAACACTTGAGTGTGAGAGCAATCAATTCTGTAGAATAATGAGTAGAGTAGATACCTAAACCCCTATATAAAACTATACTATAAGCCTAGTACTCTGTGTGCATACCATTTGCAGCAATTACTGCTGCCATACGTGTAGGCATACTATTAAGGAGAGCATTAAGCTCAGCTTCTCCAACTTGCTCCCATGCTTCCTTAACAGCTACACGGAGCTGGTCATAGGACATATGTTCTGGATGATTATCTTGTAGATAATTCTTCATAATATGCCACACCCGTTCAATTGGGTTGAGATCTGGTGAATACGGGGGCCATTCTATAGGGCAAATACCACGGGATCTCAACTCTTCATATGTTGCACCTGCTCTATGACCTGGAGCTCCATCTTGCATCAATGTAAGGCCTGGGTATAGGCGTAGCCAGCCGTGGATTAGAGGGACAGTATGAGCCATATAGGACTCAGCTCCTATTTTCCCATATTCCTTCTCCCAAAATAGTATAGGACCCTTTCCAAGACCACCTGAGAAGCAGCCCCAGAACATCCAACCTCTAGGGATTGTTAGTAAATCCTATAGTAAATAGGAGTCTCTTACCTTCTCCGTTGTACTCTATCTACAACACATGTATCATCCCACATTTCCCCTGCTTTTCGAGTAACCCATGTACGAGTATGGCGGCCTCCCGTTACCCACGTCTCGTCAGTCCAAAGTATCCTATTCCAATCATTCCGTACCCAATCCTTATGTTCAATAGCCCATGAAAGTCGCTTTTGTCGATTTGTCTCTGAGATAATAGGCTTCCGCATAGCAATCCCTTAATAATTATTAGTCTATATAGTAGTAAAGTAGAGAGGGATACTTACGTCGATTATAGCCTCTCACAGACAGAGCGCGGGTTAGGACAAGCCGTGAGCATGGAATATTAAGAATGCGTATTATATTTGTATATGGCATACGCCTATTCGTGCGAGATGAGGCTATAAACTCAATAACCTCTTGAACTTGCTCATCGGATAGGATAAGTGGCCTACCCGAACGCTTCTTCGGAGTTGGAGGGCCCTGGCAAGCATACCAAGCCTGCCGTTCCGTGCAGCCAATATAGGCTGCAATTTTTTGGAACTCCCAATCTAGGGAGCGTAGTAGTGCGCAACGAAGCCGCTCATCGCGAGTAAGATGAGGCATTGTAGTTATTGAAAGAGTATGAATTTCCTACATATAAAATACAATAGTAGGAATTTTGACGCGTTAAAAAGGTACAAACAAGCCTATGCGTACCCATGCTCCAACCCATGCCCAACCCCCGGTCATCTCATGACCCACTCACAAAACTTATGAACAACACCTCCGTATATACAGTGAATTGAACCTGTGCAGAGCAGGACAGAAAACTGTTCTGCTCTGAACAGGTTTTTACTCCGAATCGCCTAGAGCGGCCTGTTATGGTTGATCTAGAACAGGGGGCAGGGGGCGGTGGCAGGGTTTAAAAACTGGCGGCTTGGCACCTTCTTATTCAGGCCATGGTCATGGTCACGGCCTGGCTGCTAAAGCCATCTAGTGTAGCAGCCGCTATCCTAAATAGGCAACTGTGATGCCAAGCCTACAGGGGTCCTTCCTTCCTACTACGGCTAGTATTATGGGGCTGCTGCAAAACGTAACAGTGTTACAGCAAATCTAAAATGGCCTAGTAGTACTTTGCATTCTGGTAAATGAGTGGGTATTGGCTAAGTTAAGGTATGGGTATCTCTAGAGTAAATGGTAGGTAACTTAGGTATGGAGCGCAATTGGGCCCATGAAATAGGCGTGACTTTCGTAAATCTGAAGAGGACGCTCTCATGAACTTGTCAGTCCCAAGTCCAGTCTATCCAGCTCCTCCACGCTCGCGATATCATCCTTCTCCTGCACAGACGTGGTCTTGCCGGCCTGGCTGGGTCTAGCTCCAACCTTCTTCATCTTCACCGGCGGGACCTTGAGCTCCGCGTACCTCTGCTTCACGAAACCCAGTAACTCCATTGCTCTCGCGCTATGGCTAGGCTTGGTTTCAGGCTGGGAATCGCCTTGGTTGAGCTCTGGGTATGTCTTCTGGACAAAGCCTAGCACCCAACGCGCGTCGTCGAATTGCTCGTTTACTATTAGTTGCTTCGCCGTGTCGAGAGCTAGCGAAGCTAACGAGTTTGAAAGCACTTTTGTCGCCTGTAGGAGGTGCTCAGACGACGCCTCGTTGAGGCTCTCGAGGTAGCGTAGGGCGGGCCTGGCGTCGGGATTTTTTGGATGGCGTAAGTATAGTTGTGGTATGAATAGATTTGACTTTGAAATTGTGCTTCGACTAGGTAATGTCTGGACAGTGCCTAGGAATGTGTTGAAAATTGCTGGTGATTGTTGAACATTCTCTGATGTGGTGTTCTTGATATAGTTGACCAAGAGAGAAATAGCGGGGTTCAATATTCTTAAGCGGTCTGCCAAAGGTGTTTCTGCTTTGATAAGAATCTCGTTGGCTCTGATCACGCCTTCAAGCCCCGCGTCCACAGAGATATTTTGCGCCAGGCTCCTGCTTAGTTGGAACACGAAATTCTGTCCGTCGCGAGCGTTTAGAGCCTCATAATGCCCGAAAAGTTCCCAAAGGGCCTCTTGCTTGCCCTCGAGAACAAGGAAGTCAATGATGATATCCTTCCTCCATGCAGATCCTCCACTGTTAGGTTGTAACCACGAGGCATCACTCTCTGCTCCAGTCGACAATAGCCACTGTAAGACCTTCGAGCCGGCACCCGAGGTCTTCATCCCTGCTCGCTGCTCTTCAAGCGATTCTCCCAGTGAAGTTCTTTTACCCTGTAGACAGGCTCTTGCCCGGGCAATATTCATATAGCCTCTCGCGCACGCTTCCTCAAACACGTCCATAGGGTCTCTCTGGCCCGTTCGAGTCGGGGGCGGCTGGAACGAGAGGAGGGGATTGCTGAGGACGTCGTGTAAATGGCGGTCGGTGAGAGTCACATTTGGCCGTGCCGGGCGTTTCTTCGGAGAACCCGAGCTGAGAGTAGTGGCTGTTGATGCCGAGCCAGTATGTGCAGGATTCCGTGTTCTGGTGTCGTGCTCTTCGGCAAGTTGTCTCCGAAAGGAAGTTGTTAGGGCCTTGAGCAGCTGCCTCGATTCATTCGGGGTCAACGGGACCTTGGGGTGTGCGAAGATGTTGAAGTTTGCCGCCAGTGTTGCTGCTGGGCGGAGCAGGAGATGGGGCGACGGTTGAACCATTGCGATTTATGCTGGGGGTGTATGCTGGGTTGTGGTGTGGTGTATAGTGGGTTGAGTGTGTTCGAGTTGGGAGTTGGGCGATGCCCGCCGTCTTCTACGCTTTACCTCACTGGACCACCACCTCACACCACGCACAGTCACGTGCTACATCCGCATTTGTGCCTTAGGAGCCTTAGAGCAGAAATATTTCCGAGTCTTTGTTCCTTTTAGGCTTAGCGTAGAGTTTGGCCTGTACGGTGATGTAGAGTACAACAGTGCGCAGTATCAGAAATTCGCCTCGCTGTAATGAATAGGTATTTTTTTACTATGTAGTATACTGTAATATAGATATATAAACCCTGCCTTTAAAACTGGCCACTCCTTAACTCTTTAATCCCCTCACCCCTTCGCGTTGTTTCGCGTTCTTTCCACATACGATCTATCACGTTTGCTGGCTGCTGGGGCCCGTTTCTGAGGCTCAGGCGAGACGGGAACCTTGGCTCTTCCCTCTCTCTACCTAACTTTACCAGTACTTACCTGATTCTTTCATCAACCCCTACGCGAACATCTTCGTAACTCTTTATTCCACAACCACATCCTTTCCCCGAAATACAACAACCTTCCTGACAGTGTAAACCAAAACCCACTTTGCCTGTCAATACACACAACCTCATACCATGTTTGAGGTACAATCAAGACCATCTGCGCCGCGAGGCAGAGGCGCTTCGCGCGGTGGCAGGGCCGGTTTTGGCTCGAGAGGCGGCGGCGGTCGTGGTGGAAGAAGTCACGCAACCAACGGCGACTGGCCAGACAGCGCATCAGCGCCATCAATTGAAGGTGATGCAGGCGTCGGTCTGTTGAAGAAGCAGTACGGTACCAAGGTCGCCACCATCAAGGAGATGTACCCAGACTGGACAGATGAGGATGTTGTGTTTGCTCTGCAAGAGACCGGTGGCGATCTAGAGCTTGCAGTAGAGAGGATTACTGATGGTAAGTGACTTCGTGTCTATCGACTTCAACCGGCGATGATATTTTCATTCTACGGTTGAGGGTGTTGAGGATGGAGATGCTGACGTGTTGGTTAGGCACGATCACACAGTGGGGAGAGGTATCGAAGGCCAAGAAGGACCGATCGAAGTCCAAGGTCAAGGAGACTGCCGCGAACATCCACACCGACTCTGGCAATTCGCCACGCGCTGCACGAAGCGGCGCGGATAGTGGACGTGGTGGTCGTGGGCGAGGCAGCAGCGATCGTGCTCGTGGTGGGAGAGGTCGCGGTGCCGCAACCGTCCAGACAAATGGCACACACACAAAGCCATCGGCTCCTCTTTCGGTTCCAACTGACCAGTCGGTTGTCTGGAACGCTTCGACCAAGGAGGCTCCATCGGACGATACCAAGCCCGAGGAATCGTGGGGAGGCGCAGCTGACATCGCGAAGGCCGTTGTATCGACCGTGGTCCCGGATGGAAAGAGGACCTGGGCGAGCATGTTCAAGGCTGAGCCCGCGCCAAAGCCAGTGGAGAAGAAGGCCCCAGCAGAGTAGGCTACCTTTTCTACAGGTATATATTGAATATTGCTAACCTAATTGTACAGGGTTCCAGAGAAGGCTGCACCCGAAGCACCAGTTGAGCCCGAAGCTACCGAAGAAACACCCAAGGCTGAAGTGGCCGAACCAGCGGTAGCGGCCAAAGAGACTGTTCAAGAGGAGGCACCGGCAGCTGAGGCTCCACCGGCCGAGGCAGATGCTGCCCTTCCACCATCTATGGACGAACTTACGGAGACAAACTTGGAGCAAGTCTTGGATGAATCGGGACCTGCACCATCTGCAACGGTTGCGAGCACTGCTGCTAGCTCATGGGATCCTCGCAGCGGAGCCACAAGCGGAACACCATACTCGGGTCTCCAGGGGAAACCCGCTGCTGCACGCCCAACAACCAGCGGCTTTGCGGCTTCGGCTATGAAGGCTACTGGCCCGTCACCACGCGTCGCAAGCTACCAGCGTCGCGTTCTCGACCAGGAAGAAGCTGTCCGTATGCCAGGCAACCGCGAGGTTGACCGCGCCGCGGTTCAATTCGGCGCATTTAGCTTGGGAGGTGCAGGCGAGGAAGATGTTGACGGCGACCGTGAGGAGCCAGAGACACGTGCCCAGCCTCCCCAGCACTCCCCGATTGCCCACCCAAGGGCTTCTCTGCCACCCGCACCCGCACAGGCAGCTGCCGAAGGTCTCCCAACCGCAAAGGAACCTTTAGGCCTCCCTTCTGCACCACACCCAGTTGCCGCGCCTGGTCTCCCTACGCCCCTCCCGGGCGCACAGTCCATGTCTCAACAGGGCTCCCAAGGCGGCCAATACCCACAGTATGGCCGTTACGGGCAACCTGCCGGACAGGAGCAATCCGCGTTTGGCCAGAAGCCATATGACCCATTCAGCCACCAAGTCCCAGCCACTGCAAGCCAGTACGAAGGCTACCCCAACCAGCCAAACCAGGCACAAACCCAGCCCCAGGCTGGTGCCTTCTCATCTGCCCCTACCGATTACTCGCAATACTACACCGCAGACCAGCAACGCTATCAAAACTACTACGGCCAGCAGTACGGCCAGCAGCAGAATGCGCAGGCCCAGGAAGGCCCATCCACCCAGCAGCGTGCTTTCAGCGGATACAATCCTCCCCCGACCGACACCGCCTCTCCTTTCCCCCTATCTTCTGCCCAGCAGACACAGTCCAGATATGCCACGGCTGGTGAGGCCCAAACCAGTGGACACACTACTCCCAACCCAGTTGTGCAGGCCCAGCAGGCTGCTCAGACTACTCAAGCTCAGCAGGCTCATCCTTCCCAGCCGCAGGGACAGCCAGGTGCTCAGTACCCATATGGAAACCCATACTACTCTAGCCCCTATTACGCTGCATACATGACCAACTACCAGCAAGGCTACGGACAGGGCAGCTATGGTGCCGGCCCATACGGCGGAAAGGGTGGCATGTACAACCAGCCCCACCAGTACGGCATGTCTCCTCAGGCCCCGTACGACCACGCGTCATCTCCTGCCGCTGCCGGAGCCTTCTCCCAGTCGTCGCTTCACGGCCGTGACAGCGCTGTCGGAGGCGGCCTTAACGAGTATGGCCGTGGTGGCTCCCAGCAGTCCCAGGCAGCCCAGCCTCTCGGTGCTAGCGGCGGCTTTGATGCCTTCGGAAGAAACTCCTCTTACCAGGGCCAAGGTCAGCAATACGGACAGGGCAGCCAGCAGGGCGCCGGTGACGACCTGAAGTCGTTCGGAGACGCGAAATCGGGCAATGGCCCCGCTCCTTCGACCGCGCAGGCCGCCCGCCCCGGATCAGCTGCCAACACTGCACCGGGCCAGTCCACTCTGCCACCCCCGCAGTCCTCGCAGCAGAGCTACGGTGGATATCCTAGCCACCTGCAGCAGCAGCAGCACACCGCACACGGCGCCCAGACCGGCAGCCAGTACGGCGCTCTTGGCGGGCTCGGCGCTCACCAGGCTGCAGGCCAGGGCCACCAGAGCAGCCAGTACGGCGGCGCCGGCGGCTATGGCCAGGGCCAGGGGCAGGGCTTCACCGGTAGCTACTATGGCAACAACCAGCAGCAGCGCGGCGGCTGGGGCAACAACTACCAACATTAGGTGACCATCACCTACCTTCGATCTAGGAAGCTATTGAAAGTTTCGGGCGCGGCTTCCAACGCAACACATTTACGTTGGATCCCGTGTTCCTGATTTCAGCGGTCCACTCCAGATCTGTGTGTATTACCATCAAATGTTATCTTTTCCGCTTTTTTCCAAAGAGTTATTTGTTCCCCAATCGTTCCGGGTTTTATGGCAATAAAGGGGACGTACCCCAAACCACCTCCGCTTTTTGTTTTCCAACGTCGCGCGCGCGCACGCGCAGAAAGGACGCCGCCTATGAAGCAAACCATCAAAAATCTGTAATTTTGTTACTACTAGTACCAACGTCCATCACGAAAATGCCAGCTCCCGGAAGGAACTTCCCTCCAGAGACTTTGTTTTCTTGAAGATAATTTGCGCTGGAACCTCTCTACTTCGCTCTGGACCCCCCTCGTTCGGCTCCCGCCTGAAAAAAAATCTTTCGCGCTCGCTCTTCCTCCCTCCCCTAGGGACGTCGATCTTTTGCTCTCCTCCGCCGCACGGGTTTTTGCGGTTTTTTGTCTTCGTCTTCTTCTTCTTCGGATGTTATTTTGCTCTCGCGCACTTTGTCCTTCAGACAACGAAATTTGTGTCTCGCGCACACCGGTAATTTTGTTTCGCTGGATGCTGGATGGGACTTCCGGGAAAGGGAAGGGGGGGGGGTAAAAATCTGCGTTTTGCTTTTGGGGAATGGCAGGGGCAAAGGGGAGAGACCATCGTTTTTCTGTGGTGTGGGTGGAGTTGCAGATTTTTTTTTTGAAGGGGGGAGAGTTTAGTTGGCGGTTATGAGCAATGGACTGGGTGATCTGATGGATTTTGACTTCTGGCTTTCTGATTATGTGACTGCGACTGACTATGTGACTGTAAAGGATTATAGAGTGTCTACGGTGTGTTGTAATCGAATGCTATCGGTATTGTAACACGATACAGAGAAGCTGGAGAGGCTCCCTGTAACTAGTGATACGCCCCTTAGCAACGTCGTACTGGTAGTCAACTAAGCCGTGTCCCTCATTTGCATCACACACTCAAATCAGCCCTGTCGGCATCACATGAATGAGCCATTAACCAACCAATCCTTGCGATGGCAGTGGGAAGGCCGTAGATAAGGTACTAACTACCAAGTCCATCAACGTAATCCAATAGCCATCCCGATGCTCCAACAAGCCTCAGTCAAACGCCTAGGTATAACGCCTGCAGTAGCGTCGGAAAACACGTTGCAGTAGCGTCGTAAAAGCATGCGCCGAAGGGGTTCATCCTTGGCGAGGACGACCATGCGTCGAGAAAGGTCGCCAATATATCTCGCAGCTATTGTGACTTGGCATCCTTGAAGAATGTCGTTTTATTGTCCAAGGTGTATTCTGAGAACATGGGATTGTGTTGAATCTAGGCAACGCGAACCGAACTGCATATACATCTATATTAAAGACTCCCTGGGATCAAGGTCAAGCAGGACAACTTCCAGTCCAGTCAGTCCATCTTACCTATCGGTAGGCTCAGCTGCTAATATTGAACCAGGTGGAGCAAAATCCCTCGTACCATTACCTGCTTGAGCTCGAGTTCAGCCCGAGAACTCGGGAGCAGAAGGTTTCCGTATGGGGCCAATGATATTACACCGAAAACTGATCCGTAATGGTTCAGGGGTTAACTGCTGGCAGCTTATCACCCGTAATCCCCGAGCGGGCTTCAGTTGCTTTAGTTGCTTCCGATGTTGGTACAGTACGGTACGGTACGGCGCCATAAGTTTCCGTACGGGTGGGTCTGTGCACGAATTGCGTAAATGACAGTCATTTTATATGTCATTTGTATGGGAAAAGGCACAGACCCCTACGGAAACTTTTGGCGCCGTACTGTATATCTCCCCCCCCCCCCCCCCCCCCCCACGTGGCATTCTGTTGTCTCCGTTCGTCCATTTGTCTTTTCTATCGGTGCCCTCTTCTTCGTAACTCTTTTTTTGTGGATATTTCTTAGCATTGCACTCAAGACTGAGCTATGGCTACCACCGACGTCGAAGCTCCTCCTGCTACCACCGACGTCGAAGCTCCTCCTGCTACCACCGACGTCGAAGCTCCTCCTGCTACCACCCCCGAGTTGCCAGACTATCTCTTAGATCCAAATGCGGTTCTAAATGACAGCGGTGCCAACTGGCGATATGGCCAACCTCCTGATTACTCTAATACCAGGAAGGTATATGGCGAAAGTAAGTCTAGAAAACGCTCGGTTTCTAGAGTATATCATTTGCTCTCGATCTTGGCTCTACGCTCAAACCTACATATCAAAGCTGCGCTTAGCTGACCCCTCTCTAGCCAAAACCAAGAATCACGAAACGGCCAGCCTCCCATTCCTCGTCGAGAACTTAGTCAAGAACTGGGAAATCGAAGCCAGCTTCAAGCCCGACATCTCAGACTGGCGTACCATCGACCATTCAAACTACACCTTCTCCGTGAACGGCGGCCCGCCTCAGTCCGCCGAGCACATGCTAAGTGTCGGCACCTACAACGCCATCATTGCACCGAACGAATTCTACAGCCCGGAACACGCCGACTTCGCGTCTTCTCATAAAACTTTCAAGCGCATGATGCCGGCGTTTGCATGGGAGGTTCTGGAGGTATACAGCGGACCGCCGCTTGTGGCGTTTAAATGGCGCCATTGGGGGGAGATGAAAAGGGATTATGTTTCGTTGAATGAGTACGAACTCCGATTTTTTTAGAGGGGGGGTTCCTACCCAATTCCTATCTTATACTCCTGTTTTAAACCTCCTTCTGACATGAGAATACTATAGCAAGGGCGAAAAAGTAACCGTCCCAGCACACGGAGCAACAATCGATATTCAAGGTGTCACCATAGCCCGTGTCAACGCATCAATGCAGATCCAAAGTATAGAAACCTTCTTTGATCCGCTCGAGATGTTCCGGCAGATTGCACCCAACGGCATACCGGGCAAGACGACTGTGGCTCCTGAAGGAGGCGCAGAGGCATGCCCTTTCTTAGCGGGCAAGGAGTGATATGGAATGTTAACTCGCCGATTTATTTATGGGCTTTCTTATATTGCCTTTCTTTTCCTCATAGTCGGTATTAGCACGTAAATAAGTTTATTGGAATATATTTTATTAGTAAGACCTCAGCACTCCCCTCTTCGCCGCGCTTTACGCTGTCTAGCGAAACAAGAGAAACCCGGGTGTTGCCTTCAGCTTTGTGATGATATTAGGCTTGGATGTTAGTTATAAGGGGCTATACTAGGAGATAAATAGTTTAAGCGAGCGGTCCGAACAAAACAGACGCCAACGACCACCATCTACTACCATCTATCTCATCTGTCTCTGTGCGCCGCCCTGCGTGCGCCGTCTGAAGATGCATCCATCCGTCTTGCCATCTCCCATCTGTCCGTCTAACTTCTAACTCTCTGATTCAACCCCTATCTTATATACAGTCAATCCATTCACCAACCCAACTCCACCACTCCCACACCCACACCCACCCATCCACATCCACCTCACCTAATCAACTCATAAAACAACAAATACACCTCCTTCTGCATCCCCAACACCTCAGACGTCTTACTCTCCTTAACCCTCTCATCACTAATTCTCCACCACCTCTCCGCCGCCTTCCTCTGCCTTCTCGCCCGCACCCTCCCCACCTTCTCTCCCCTCCCCGCATTCTCCTTCCCCCCCGCCGGCGTCCCATCTCTCGCCCCCGGCCTTGACAGAGACGACGAAATGTTCTTGGACAGCTTACTCAGCGACGCCCTCGTCGCAGACCTCAACGACGACCCCTCGCCATCCTTCTCCCTCCCCCTGGGCGACGGTGCCGACGACGACGAACTCGACTCGCTGCTGCCTATTGTCTCCACCGACGCAGTCGTGAGATGGTCAGTCGTAGGCTGCGAATTCGAGTCCGCAAGGGAGCTTGAGCTAGCCGCTGGGTGCGGCGAGGGGATGTCAGGGGTGAGCGGCCGAATCGGGGTAGCGCGGAGCTGTGGCGTCGACGTGGCGGGTGTGGCAGTGCGACTGTATATATCGGAGCGACCAAATGGGCCCTGATTCGCGAAAGGTGGAGCAACGGTCTGGCGACGGAAAGTCTCGTAGTGCCCGCTGCTGTGGCTGCCCTTGTGAGTCACGAGGGCAAGAAGCTTGTAGCGGCGCTGATCGATGATAGAGCCTAAGGGGAGGGTCTCAGGGAAGGAGACTTTAGCGGCGTTTTTGGTGGAGGCGCGCGCCTCGAAGATGGAGCGCGAGAGGTGGAGGGCGAGGACTTTGGGGAAGGAGGTGATGCGGATATGGCGCTTGATCTTGCGCTTTGGGGCGTGCCAGGCGTCGGGGAGGGTGAGGTCCGAGGTGGGGTTTTCGGGGTCGGTGGCGATTGCTTCGTTAATGCGGGCGATCATGGCGGTGAGCTTTTCGTCTTTGCATTTTTGGGGGTCTTTTTGGAGGGTCTCGACGGCATGGATTAGGCGGCACTTTTCGCACTTGAAGTCGTCGATGTATTCGAGCTTGAAAATCCCGTCGAAGCAGGATGAGAGGGTTGTAGAGGGTAGTTCGGGAACGTTCAGTGTGAGGGTGCAGAAGGTCGATATGTTGGGTTTCGGTTTGAAGCCGCATGTGAGGCATTCGATTTGTGACTCGTATCCGCCTTCAAGGGGGAAGGATTCCTCCTCCAGCTCTCCTTCACCAGCTGACGGTGCCACTTCCGCTTTTGTTACTGGAGACTCCGTCTTTATTGGAGATTCCGCGTTTTCCACATTATTGATGTCTGCCTTCTCCGTTTCTGGCTGCTTGCCAGAATCCAAGATCTCCACCGTGGATCCCTCCTCCTCTGCAGCTTCAAGTGTAAGGGTAGTCAACCGTTTTTGAAGAGTTTCATCGTCCACAATAATCGTGCCCAGTTCTGCCGCCCGCTTCCTCGCCCGTCTCCCGGCATGATACTCATCGCACAGTCTCTCTGCAACAACCTGCAAGAACTCCTGCGCATCCTGCTGCTGCCTGCTTATGCGCTGTCTGAAAGCGCCCTCAAGGCACTTCACAAACCCCGACGCACTGGCCGTCTTTTTGTATATAGGCCGCTCATTCAACGTATCCAGCAGCTCCTTCAGTCCCTGCGTAATCAGCCCCTCCTGAAGCCCCTCTATCTTCCACGGCGCCAGATTCTTCCTAGTCGGATCCTCAACGAGATTCCTATACACCGCCGGCCCGTCAAGCGCCCGCCGGTGCGTCTCGCGGATCAGGTATAACCTCAGGTCTCCCAGACCCGCGAGCGCCTGCACCGTCGAGTTGATAAAGCAGTCGTTGGCCTGGTTGTGGAGACCCACGACTCCGCGCTTCCGCGAGCTGGACGATGACTCCGCCTCGCCGTCGATGAAGAAGGTGGGCGCGAAGACGTAGACCAGCGTGATGGCCGCGAGCGAGGCGCCCGCGGCATACGTCGCCATCTGGAGCTGCTTGTCGGGCATGGCGCCGGTTGAGAGACGGGGTGCTTAGGGGCAGGGGCTGTGGTGCTGTTAAGCTGCTTCCATCGCAGTCCAAGGCCCTGGTCTGGCTCCGGAGAGAAGGGCGCTTGGGTGAGTTCGTGCTGGAGGGCTCCTAGGGCTCGTAGGTCTCGGTTTATGGGGTACTTTATGCAAATGCGGGTCAGCCGGGTTTTGTGGATTCAGTTATGAGGGCTGTAGAAGTCGTGGTAGAAGTTGTTGCTGTAGTTGGGGGTAGTTGGGGGTGTTTTTGCATGGATGGATTACTTTATGAAAGGAAGGAGGGATAAAGAGAGATAAAGTGTTCAGAGGGCTTACTTTAGTATAAAAAGTATAGGGAAACAACCAGCACGATGAATACTACTGTATTCTGTGGTTAATAACCTTCCTGTTGAATCAGAAGTATGTTAAATACCCATTTACAATTCACAAACAAATAGTTGTAAACATACGAATATATGAATTCTCAGGGTCTAATTTTATGTCGATATTGGGAGAAAAGGGTCTGTCTTTGTCTTGTCATAGACGCGGAGATCTCCGCAACGTACCTGTAGAGGTACATAGGTACATACTCTCGAGATACCTTGGGACGATCACAAAAATCGTAGATTTGAAGCTCAAACCGACCGCCAGCTACCAGCCAAACGCGCATCTCAGTCCGCGCACGCAACCCATCAGACAGCCAATTGCCGCCTGTCGACTCGGGAAGTGCAATGTCTTCCCTCGTGGGCTCCTTACGGGCTCCCCAATGCATGTCCTGCATGCGCCGTGTTACAATGAGCGTCGGCGATGCGTGGCTCGCGTCGACGAAGCAGCAGGTTAGGGGGAAGAAGCGGTTGGCGAAGGTGTCGACTGTCAATGTCCGCCTGCTGAAGAATGTTGCCCGCTATGGAAAGGAGGGTGAGCCGCGGTCTAATTCTGCCGCAATGGATGGCAATTACAGTACAAAGTGCTTACGAACTTGTGCCAGGATCGGTCATCCCCCTACCGCCGGGACGTATGCGGAACCAGTTCTTCCCGAGGAGGATGGCAGAGTATATGACACAAGCTCAGATTAAGGAGGCCGGGTTAGAGAACGTGACATTGGAGAGGAATTTTACCTTTGGCATCAAGGACGCCGGTAGTCTAAAGGCCGCTGAGCCAGAGGTCAAGGCTGCGCCGGCAAAGGTGGTACCAGTTGATCTCGATCTCTTGAGTGTAAGTTCCCTCTAACTTACCAATCCATACTTGGGTGAGTGCAGTGGACTAACAGAACCCAGGGCGAGCAAGCCGCAGCTACGATCGCAAAGCTTATCCCGAAGAACATCGACTTCTACCGCTCCGCCATATTGCCCGCCGCCCCAGCCCCGAAACGCTCCCCATCGCTACCAGCAAGTTCAGTGCTATCCGAGGAGGCAGCAGGAGTCAAGCCAGAGCCAGCGCCGCTGGATCCAAACGCGAGCATCTTCGGATCCGTCTCGACATCCGATATTGCATCCAGCATCCGCGCCATCCTGGCTGAAGATAAGGAGGGCTCCCGCCTTGTGTTGGGCCCGGAGGATATCACGTTTGCCGTTGAGACGGAGGAGAAGGGCCGCGTCAAGAACCTGGGGACGTATGAGGTGCATATCAAGATCAAGGGCGGGGAACAGGCGGTGCGGAGGACGATCACGGTCAAGCCGCAGGAGTAGATTGGGGGGAGCGGTTAAGATGTTTTTGTACTTGTATAGATATGAGAGCACGGTATACAGATACAGATACTTGGCATCGCGCGGGGCCTGGGAATGCAGTATGACTACAGACAGCGATTGGGGGGTATAGAACGAGACCCCTTTTTCGTGTGACAAGCGTGACGATTTCTCCAAGGATGCCTCAGGATTATGTTGTAACTCTATCTTCACGGGTGTTATTTGTGCAACTGTTGTAAGTAGGTTTGGCGTTCCAATAGATTCGTGGCACTATGATCGACGCAAACAGTTGGGTATTTATATTCAGCAAAAGAGTAAATACCCTGTATTTAGCCCTGTAAGGAATCAAATACCCTAAGCCATTCGAAAAGAATACAATGCCCTGTAGTGACCCATTCTGTGCCTTTCTATTAGAGTTGAGCAGGAAGCCCCAACTATAGCACCTAGTTCTGAGTGATAATGAGCCTCGCCTGCCTTCTACCGCCTTCTGCAGCACCAGCTAGAATAGCTCATACAAGATCTGATTATAGATCTCTATCCCTTTCTAGCGAATTATGCAATGCCACCCTAGGTCACTTGTAAGATGATTAGAGCCTTCTAGTCGCAGGCAGCATCGAGAGCGTCGTGAGCCACAACATAGTTGGGTTTTTGGTAGGTGAGAAGTGCTAGCTTGAGCTCAATTCCGAGCTCGAGTGCTTACTAGAGCTATGGGTCGATGAGAGCTTCAAGCTTATAATAATGGCAGCAAGCCTTTGTCTTGTATAGAGGTGGTTGGTTACGGGGCATCGGACTAGGTTTTGCATCATTAGTAGCCCATCCCGCCTCTTATATATAAATATAGGCTTAGCCCAGCTCTAGGAATGAATAGAGGGTTTCAGCTCAAATAGCATAATTGCATATAACGTATTTCACATACGAGCTGCGCATACAAG